TTTGATATTTATTTTATGAGTATAAAGTAATGCATTCAAGATTTTTTAAAATCCACTTTAAACTATTTGTCTACTTTGGAGTGAATAAAGTCAATATCTCTTTTCCTCTTTATAGAGGATTGAGTCTGGAAATTTGTAGCCAAGAATCAATTCAGATTTATTTCTGAAACGTTTTATCCTCCCTTAAGAAAAAGTATTCCGGGTGCCTGTTTCTCCTTAATGGGCTCTGCTTAGTGAAATCCATTCAAAAAGCACAGTGTCCATTGAAGAGTTTATCAGGATAGTCTTGCTAATGGAACCCTGGATGTTTACATATCTGCAAGTGAATAACTGTTATTCAGTTTACATGCTGAGTAACTTCATTTTTACTGAATTTGGAAACTTTTATAAAGATAAACTTTTATGCTTTGGCATGGGGGGCTATCAAAATCCCAGAATTTTTCTTTGATGTTTAGTAAGTAATCTTTTATTTTTCTAGAAGGTAAAATTACTGTATTTGAAACTGTTAATTATTTCAGCTGAGAAGTTATTTATTTCTGCTACCTAAGAGACCAGTATAGTGCCCAAACCTTGATAAATATTTATTATGACTCTCAAATAATGTACTTCTTAGGCGTACAGATACTTTCCCCTGGTGGTTATTGAAGTGTTACTGAAAATTGCAATGCAAAGGAATTTCATGAAAACATCTGTAAGATGAATTACAGGTTGCTACTCTGGGAGACCAAGGCGAATAGGAAAAGGAATTCAGAAGTAGGAGAGAGAGAGTAATAAGGAAATATTTAGGGTTATTTTCAGTAATCACGCATAAGTAGGCAAGCTCTACTCATTAAAAAAAAAGATGCACTCATAATTGACTCAAAATTATTTAAAAATTCTCATTTCAGCCGGGCTCGGTGGCTCAGCATGTAATCCCGCGCCTTTGGGAGGCTGAGGTGAGTGAATTGCCTGAGCCCGCGGGTTCGAGACCCGCCTGGGCAGCGAGACCTCATCTCTACAATAAATCAAAAAATCAGCCGGGTGTGGTAGCTCATGCCTGTAATCCTGGCTCCTCGGAAGGCTGAGGAGGAAGGATCGCTGGAGCCCAGCAGGTCGAGGCTGCGGTGGCCGGGAGCGGCCACTGCACTCCAGGCTGGGCTACAGAGTAAGACTCCAACTCAAAAAAAAAAAAAAACTTCTCATTTCATTAACAATGTCCACACCAATTGTAAAAATTATATCCTATCCAAAAGTCTTTCAAAATACCTATTCATTTTGTTATAAATTTTAATTAAGCACACATCACTAAAAGGATATATATGATAAAATTATAGCATTCAGAATACTAAGCTTAGTCATTAATATTTTACAAATATTTACTGCCAACTCCTGCCACTTGCTAACGTGTGTGTGTGTGTGTGTGTGTGTGTGTGTGTGTGTGTGTGTGTGTGTAGCCATTCTGCAGGATAAGCAAATAACTTTCTCTCCTTTGGGATTACTTTTATGTCACTCTGATTTGTGAAGACTGCTTTGACTCACAGAGCATTTAGCAGTTGATTCGTTTAATAAAAGACTGTTTACCCTTTGTGGCAATATGCAGTTTATTTTGCCCTTTGAGCAAAGATAAGTCACAGCATTTAGAAAAGAAAAGACTTTTGTTTACTCAGCAGCACTAAAGGTTATCAATATCATTAAGAAAAATATGAGATAAGAAACATTTTGATCTTATACACACAGGCTTTCTGTACAATAATGGAATTTATCTGCTTTTAAAAAAGAGTCAACTTTTCTACCAGAACAAGTACTTTGAAGTGAAAACAGCCATTGTTTTTGGTTTTGGTTTTTTCCCTACAGGAATAATTCTCCTTTATTTTTATAAATAAAATCATTATTAAACTACAAAAGTATCAGATTTAGCAGTCTTGTGAGGTAAAACATAAACAATTATTATTTTCTTAATTTTTACCATATCTCTTTTATCTCAACATTTACACTAAATAAGAAAATAAATTTTAAAGAAAACAATGTATGTGGAAATAGAATATGCAGCTCCTGTCCTTGCAAAGTATAAATTATTAAATATAATGTATAATTCACAACTAAGAGAAAACATCTTTTATACAAAAATGTTTTATGCCTGAGGATGAACTAATCCAGTTACCTTCAACTCAGTGAAGGAAAATTCCAGATTTATGCTTTGTTCAAAACATCTTACCTCTTTTACTCCCCAAATCAAGTAAAATAAAGGCAAGTGTCCAGTCAAATTAAAACTATACAATTACATGAAAAAAACTACAGACTTCATCAGAATTAATATTGTCTAATGTGCAACCAAGGATAAGATAAAGATGTGGGATTGAATACAGAGAAAATGAGAGATATTGTTCACTGTCATTTTATCTTGATCGTATATAATCTTGTTCATTTAGCTATTTTGGAGGGTGAATTGATTAGGGAGACATAAAAAAGAAGAAAAAGAAAGACAGGAGAAGGAGGAGGAAGAAAGGGAAGAGCAGAACAAGAAAGAGGAGGAGGAAGATGAACAGGGAAGACTATATCTGAACTGTATGGAGGAAATAAAAATATTTCCTTCCTCCCAAAAACTCCAAGTAGCTATTTTCCTCGTCTATTTCTGTAAACAGTTCTGATAACAATGCAAGATAATAAGAACCTAGACTTGCCTTTAAGGTAAATGTGCTGAAGCCTCTTTCCTGCTGACAAATAGTTCATAATAGCGGTGGCAAAAGTTGATGTTGTGGGTGGGGAGATGGGATTATATAAAAACATATTAGGGGGGCAGACACCCTAGGTTTCATTGCTAACCCTGGCACTAATAAGCTGTATAACCCTGGGGAAAGTTACCTATGTTTATTCTGAGCCTCAGTGTTCTTGCTAAAATGAAAACAGTGGCCAACATCAGGCACAAAACTAGGGTAATAATCACCCTTTTCGGGAGCTTTTGTTTAAATAAATATAGGATGAGGACTAACAGTTGTGTGCCAATTAGAATTATTAAAATTGCAATTGACAGAATACATGACTAAAATTGCCTTAAGTAATAAGGGTTTATCATCTGGGATCATAGGAAATCTGGAGGTTTTAGCAGAGGTTAATTATGTGTTATAATGACAATGATATAATCAGGGATTCAGATGCTTTCATTTTTTCACTATGCTACCTTTAACTTGTCAACTGTGGCTTGACTCATGTTCTCAAGATAAATGTGGCAGTTCTGGCTGTGATATCTAGACAAAATCATGTTCAACAAAGCAGAGTAGTAGTCCACTATAGTTTGGGAAACATTTTTCAGAAATTTCCCACGTACTTTCCCCTCCTACTCCACCCATTGACCGGGGCTGGGTCATATACCCACATATTAAAAATTTGTTTGACATGAGAAATAGTTAAAGAAAAATGTCACCTCTCCTGAGAAAATGTAGGGTTGTTTTCCAGTAAAATTAGGGATTAGTCATATAGAAAAATTGACTAGTGTGGAAGAGTAGATAAAAGCAGTGTCTGTGACAAAATGTGTCATTGTTAAGGACAACAATAATTCCATGTATCAGTAAGTCTGGGAAACCTTAAATCAAAGAATTGCTAAGGAGCCTTCTTCTTACAAGATTTGATTACTGTGATTTAAGCAAATGATTGGAAATACACCTTAAGTAATTGATTTAACAGATTTGAAGTATGATAATATTATATCAGAGTATCCTATTCATTTCAAAAATGGAAAATCAGCTATATTGAAAAAAAGAAGTTTTACTCAACTGTGAAGCTAAATAGTGAACAAAGGTCAAGAAGCTACACCCTACCTAGTGGAAATGCTGATCTGCAATATCTTTCAGAAACATTCTGGTCCTGTACACAATCATGGAAGAAAAAAAATAAATTTACTCTATCAGTATAGATTGGGTTCTATCAGTATAGATTGGTAAATAAAGAACTCTTTTGACATTGTCAAAGTCCTTCAAGATGCTCATAAACTTATAGCTATCACAAGAATATATGAGTATAACTCTTATAATTTGAAACCAACAAATACACCATGTAAAATTTGGTTTTCCCTAGTCTGTCTCTTAATGAATCAAGTACACCTGAGGAGCCCCAGCTTATTGAGGGGTACAGAATAAATATCATCAGAGTTAGAATTTGTCTCACAAATGATTGTATCCTAAAAGCATGAGGCAAATAGAAATGGGAGCAGAAGAGCAAACTTTTCTTAAGTAACTCTACAGACAAAAATGTGTTTATTTTTATTTTTATTTAAACTGAAAAAGATCACTTTGTAAAATGCATGTTACAGAGCAGGAGATAAAATAAAGAGAAAGAGAATTAGGGCCATATGGTTGAACTTTAATGCAATGGTTGAAGATCATGCAGGCAAGACAATCCCAATTCACAGCTATGAAACTGAATATCATGCAAGTCTTCAATAACCCTAGGTATCCTTATTTTCTTCCTATCCCTTGAAGTTAGGGCACGTTTGTATATTTCATGTTAAGCAAAATAAAGAAGAAAAAGTTGATATTGATTAGTTGCTATAAGCTTGCAATCAGATCTTTAAAACTAAATAGAAAAATTTGATTTGAAACCAGTGAAACTACTTTAGATTTCTCTTTACTTAGAAATCATTCATGAGAAATTAAAAATCCATGTCTCATTCCTTCAAACAGTAAACTCAGAGTCTGGTACCATGTGATTTTGTTTAATTTAACACAGGTGACTTGGGGGAACAGCCTTACCTGGAGATTGTGTGTAACACAAAACTCAGAAAACTCAAATTTCACTTTTGGATCTACTTTTGAGTTTGCTTTTTTGGAAACCCATTTAGTCTTTCAATTCCTTTTTCTTTCACTCATGAAAGAAAGATAATATTTGATATAACTTACCTTACACAGGTATAATAAGGATTAGGAAGGTGATAACTGTAGAGAATTTCAAAAACATTTTACATGAATTAAGCACAAATCACTTGAGGACGGCTGACTTTTCCTCTTGTATCATCTTTTTCTTTGCAGAAATGGCAGCATTGTGGTCATATTTGACCTTTTCTTTGCCCAGTGGGTGTCAGATGAAAATGTAAAAGAAGAACTGATTCAGGGCATTGAAGCAAATAAATCCAGTCAACTGGTCACTTTCCATATTGATTTGAACAGCATTGATATCCCAGGTATCTGTGAACATTATTTGATTTCTTTGAATCATTAAGCTATGAAATTAAAATCCTAGCAATATACCTGGGAAGCAGTGGAATCATCCTTGACTTTAGGAACATGTCTTATTGCCTGAGGTGACACATTTACATTAGAAAAGTAAAATAGGAAGAAACCATATTTGAAGAAAATTGTAAGTGAGAAAAAGCATGTAAGATATCAAATATCAAAAAGGTTCCGAAAATTCTGGAATGCACAAATATTTATGGATCTCATACATTCTTTGCATTGGTCAAGCACACCCTGTCACTTCGGGATTAGTGACACTAAGTCACACTAGTCATTTTCTGATTGAATTAGTAACATTGTTAGATAACAAAGTTAGGTGGCATGGTCCATTCTCTAACTGAGAAACTAAAAGAAGTAAAAAGGAGAGGTCAGTGAGTTTGATCCATTCCAGTTATTTACTTATAAAAATTAAAATCTTATTTTAAAAATGATAAATAAGTTTAAGGTAACAATAAGTCAAAGAAAAAAATATGAGGAATCAAAAATAGTAACGGTGCCGGGCTCGGTGGCTCAGCCTGTAATCCCTTGCCTTTGGGAGGTTGAGGTGAGTGGATTGCCTGAGCCCGAGGGTTCGAGACCCGCCTGGGCAGCGAGACCTCATTGCTACAATAAATCAAAAAATCAGCCGGGCATGGTAGCGCATGCCTGTAATTCCAGCTATTCGGAAGGCTGAGACGGAAGGATCACCGGAGCCCAGCAGGCCGAGGCTGCGGTGGCCTGGAGCAGCCACTGCACTCCAGTCTGGGCGACCAAGTGAGACTCCAACTCAAAAAAAAAAAAAAAAAAAATAGTAACAGGACAATATGCCTTTCAATGCTTAGACTGTTCTAAATGTTTCATTCTAGTTACCTCCCATTCAATTTAATTCAACAAACATTTATACTATGTGCTTATTTTGGTTGAGAACACTAGTAATTTGCCAGTAGCATCCAGTTCTACTCCTCTAGCCACAAACCTTGGGACTAAATATGTTTTGGAATTCAGAAAATTTTAGATGTGAAAAAGTTAGACAGGATAAAAATATCCACACCAAGTGAAATAAATGCAAACCTCAAATAGCCTAAGTATTCAACTAGTTTTACCCAAAATGAGATCAGTCAGTATAGATTAACCTCTAAATCAAATATATAAAAACATGAGGGAGTCTTTTTTTTAATTTATTTATATTTTATAATAATAGATACAAAATTGTGGACCTCTAATTGCCTTTCTTCACAGCATTGGTTCATCAAGCATTGGTTTCCTCTTTAATTCATTCTCCTGCTATACCCTGCAACTCTTACTCAGTGAGAAGTTGTTTCCTAATGCTTCCTCTCCTATATGGTTTGTTCCCCTCTGTCAGAGCTGCAAGCACAGAGACAGTCTGTTTTGGATCTTTGTCTGATTTGGATAGGCTGAAAACTATCACTGGCTATTATTAGCTAGTGGTTTACTTATCAAGATTTTAATTCTCTACATCAATCCTATCATGTGATTGCCTAATCACACAGCTATTTAGAGTTATATCCGTTATTCTGATGTAGGTGGTCTGACCCTATATGTGTGCTCTTAACTCATTATACTGAAGTTTATTTATAACAGTTTTATCTTTGAGCACTGTTGATTAATTTTTTCAGTCATTTTTTTCCCAAAAATTATTATTTTATTATCTTTTTTTTTTTTTTGAGTTGGAGTCTCACTCTGTCGCCCAGACTGGCCACTCCCGGTCACCGCAGCCTCGACCTGCTGGGCTCTGGCGATCCTTCCACCTCAGCCTTCCAAGTAGCCGGAATTACAGGCATGCGCTACCACGCCCGGCTGATTTTTTGATTTATTGTAGAGATGAGGTCTCGCTGCCCAGGCGGGTCTCGAACCTGCAGGCTCAGGCAATCCACTCACCTCAGCCTCCCAAAGGCGCGGTATTACAGGCTGAGCCACCGAGTCCGGCTATTTTATTATCTTTATTTGAATGTGCCTTCATTTCTGGAGGTTTATTTTGGCAAATTAATTGATAAATATGCTGAAACATTTTCATAACTCTCCACAATTAAATTATTTTGAGAAGGAGAGTTCAAGGTTTTAAAATTATATATTTATTCAATAAAAGTATATATTTTAGTTAATTTAGACTTAATATCACAAATGCAGTAAATAATGTCACAACATCAACTCAAGAATATTCTCAACTAGTAGAAGTTATTTTTAATTTGCTGAACTTCATTAATTCACATGTATTAACATGGCCACCAAGCTTAATTGTAGGTATTTAAGTTTAATATTAATAAGTATCATGTGACTTTTCAAGAATATAACATTTTTAGATTGATTAAGGACTTCATAAATACCTTGGATTTTTATATAATACACTAATAAAATATAATAAAAGTTAAACTATGAAATAAAAAATCTTATAAACTTCATTTTGTTATCTTCTTGATCAATATTCTAACATATGACATTTACAAAATTGCAATAGTTTTATGGAAACAAGATAATGCAAAAATGTTGAAATAAGCAATCTAATTAGTAGAAGAAAATATACTTTTTAGCCCACTTAACATCAGCATAGTTTTGAATATTAACAAATTCACTAGATGAGGGTTTTTGTATGAGACATGCTTTGATTTTCTTTATATTTTGCATAGCTGAGTCTATATTTTGAAAACAATTAAACATGGTAAAAGTTGAAGAAAATAGCCAATTTTTATCTTTTATGTTAAAAATGAATGTTTAAATTAAGAACTGTTCAGTTCAAAGTAGATATGTATTATGCTATAGTCTGCTTTGCAATTGATATCTTCTATAGGTTTCAGTGCAAAACCAGTGGCTTTAGGTATGCCAATTTCAGGTGTTTCATATTACACAGTTTCTTTAAATATAAATTATTTTATATAGCAATGATGATCCAATAAGTACCTTTCTTAAATGGATGCAAAATAAAGCAAACTTTTTGCATAAGTAAATTGAATAGAAAGAATATGCAGATTCTGGAACTTAAATGTATTAAAGTACAATAAGGAATAGAAAGGTTGAACATGAGAAAATGTAAAATAAAAACTCTAAAGGATCAGATGCCCTTTGAATGAATATTCAAACAGTATTCAATGTTTTGTAGTATGTTTATATCACAAGTCTATGTGTCAAATTAACTTTTCTTTATTGCAGCATCTTTGGATAATTTTTCTACAGTAAGTCCTGCAACAACTTCAGGTCAGTGTTTGTAGCATTTAAAAAAATACAACATTGGGAAAATATACATAATTTTTTCTTGTAGTTTTTTCTGACACATTGACTCTTTATATTAAAATGTAAGAAGCATACATTGGTTAGGAATAATGTAGTTCATAATATTACAAGGTTTATAATGACTAGTTACTTGTGGCAAGAATATATATTTCCAATTTCAATGTTCTTTTCATAATTTAAACTTTATAGACATTTGTATATATGAAGTGTGTGTGTGTGTGTGTGTGTGTGTGTGTGTGTGTGTGTGTGTGTGTGTGTGTGTGTGTGTAGCAACCCCCAAAATGGCTCAATCATGGCATTTTGGAGATGAAGCCACGGAATTTGTAAGGTCGCTAAAAATGAGATAAAGAAAGTTTGAAAGTTATTCAAATGATGACTTTCAGAATGTATTGCACTTTTTGAAAAGGAGAATTTAGGCTTAACATTAACTACTTTATTTAGTATTCTCTTCACTCTATCTTTCTAATTACAATAGATCACTGCTACTGATAAAATTTAGAACTTCATTTTGTTTTATCAAGATCACACCATATTGAAAGAGTTTCCTTTAGGAAATTATTAATAACTTTTAGAATTAACCTAAGTTATCTTTAAAAATAAGATTATTGCGCAGTAGAAAAAAGCACTAAAATTGAAGCTAGAAGATTTGAAACACTAATCCTGGCTCTGTCAGCCAGTAGAATCACTGGGCATATCTCTACTTTTCTGAAAAGTTGACTTCCTATAAATTGTTTCTAATAAAATGTGTCTGAATATTTCAGATGTCATCCTAAATATCAACATTATAGATAATTTGTAAAAGAATAAATTATTATAAAACTATGAAAATATTACTTTTTGGTATTATCTATAATCATGACATTTTCATAATATTTGTACCTATAATCATGACATTTTCATAATATTTGAAAGCCTATTTTTTTCAAATTATTCTCTTAAGCCAAGTACTATATTTTATGAACATTACTTTTTTTAATTATCAGAATGATCTTGTAAAGAAGTACTATTTTCCATTTAAAAATAAATTAAGTTATAAGTAACGTGCCCAGGGTCACACAGCTATTAAGTGTCACACTCAGAAATCAATTTCTCAGAAATCAATTCCTTCTGATTCCAAAGCCCGTGGTTCTATTTCAGATAGCATCAGATTAACCTAGAACATTTAAGTCTATATTCACTATGAAATTAATAAGTCTTCCTCATATCTAGTTATTGATCATTAAATAACATTGTCTTCTTAGAAAATAAAAGATGAGTTAAAAATATGAAATTCTACATTATTAAAAATCAATGAAAACATGTTTATTCTTAGATTCATGTGCAAATGACATATTCCTAAATTAATATATACTAATAATTCACAAAAATATTAAAAATTCTCAGGTTAAATATTACACAGAATATATAAGTTTTTTAAAATCAGCTTAAAATATATAATTTATCTTTACAGACAAGCCAACAACAAGCAGTCATCTGACAACTCCAGGTTAATTATAATAATATTATTTCTATCTTTTGAAAAAAAGTTGTTACTTTTTTTAGGTTTCTGAAATTCTTTGATGCCACCACAATTAATATTACACTTATTTTATAAATAAGAAAACTGGAGCTTAAAAATTTACAGTTCTAGACTAACATTTCACCAAGGTAAACAATATATTTAGGGTTAATGCATGAATTGTCTGACCTCACTCCCATCCTGTTAGAATTGGGATCATTATCTATTGCTAAGAAGGCCATCAATAGAATAAAAATGTTTTTCCAGAAGGAATGCAGGTTTCATCTAATGTTAAGGATTTTTTTCTGTGAATATTCTCTCTACCTAGAAGTTAGACATACTTGCTCTCTCTTGTTAACACAGTACTCAAGGCCAAAGTAATACCAAAGTTGTCTTGAATTCATTCATTTAATGTTTTTTTTTTTTTTACATTGAGTATCTACTTTGAGCCAACTTCTAGTATGTATCTTTGATGTGGTGGTTTCTCTGAATTTCGAGTAATTGTTCACATGCTATTTTCTATCTGCCAGTCAACTAAAATATCTTCTACGGTCCTGAATTACTCTTCATGATAAATGTCCTGGGTGTGTGCCTAATCCCTTGGAGTAAATTCAGTAAAGGACATACTGTATAAATCGTCAGTCAACTCCCAAGAATAATACCCCCATTTTATATTATTAAAATTTATATAAAATATATAATTTACATACAAGGAAAGAACATTTGTGAAACTATAAATGTCATTCTAAGTAAGAATGCATAATTCTTGCATAAAATAATGAGCATGATGTTTGAAAAGCAAAATATCACATGAATCACTAATCCAAATGCTTTTTGAAATAGACCATCACAACTCTAAAACCCACTAAAGATCTATTATGATAGGATAAGCCTGACTGCAGTTGTATTTAGGTTATATCCAAAACGCAGCATAACAAATTGAAAAAAAAAGTCATTGAGTCCATATTCTCTTCTCCAATGTTATCTATATCTATATCTATATCTATCTATCTGTCTATATACCCCTATAAATATATTTATAGCATCTTCAATTATTTTTTTTTTAAAAATGCTTTTAGGATTGATAATAACTAATTCTTTTGGTCTAAAAATAAACTGAAAAAGTAATCTTAATATACACATATTTTGAGAAATTTGCTCCTAAGACTTTGAAAGTAGGCAACAAATATTCAGTTTAGTGCTCTGTTATCTATTTATTGGTTCATTGAGTGATTCACCTAACCTCCATTTATTAAGGTCCTCTTATCTGTATTAAATGTTCTAAGAAAGATATGTGGAATGACTTAGGTGGAAAAGAATCAGTTTTAAATAAAGTAAGAAAGTCTTTGACTTAGAAAAGTTATTTCTCCTTTATTATCCTCAAGACAAACCTATGAAAAGTATATAGAATGTGTTGAACCATATATCATTTCCTCTGATCAAAGAAGGAAATGATGGAGGAGGGAACAGAGCATGAGAAAGCACTCCACCCAAATTTTTCTCTCCTGGGGTGGGGGATAGAACAGAAATTTCCTTTCCTACGTTTAAACTTAGCTCTATCCTTCATATTTTATACGAATAACTGATAGTCAAAATAAAGATTAAAAAGTAACATAAAATTCTTAATCACTAAAAAGACGTGGGTAACCCATCTATCTCCTAATTTTACCAATTATTCTTTATATATTTGGCCAGCTATCTAACTTCTTTGAACTTTATATTTATTATCTAAAAATATAGATTAAAGAATATATATATCTTAGATATATTATGAGAATTGAAAGAGATAAACTCAGATACTACTGTGTTGAGGTCATCATAGTGACTCCCACAAAAGGGGAACAACCAATATTAGATCCTTCTCTGTTCCCTCTGCTGGCTTCAATAAAATAAAACCAAACAGAAAAACAAACACACATACAAACCTTATGTTAACTTTACAAAAAAGGGCCGGCTCGGTGGCTCAGCCTGTAATCCCGCGCCTTTGGGAAGCTGAAGTGAGTGGATTACCTGAGTCCGCGGGTTCGAGACCTGCCTGGGCAACTTGGCGAGACCTCATCTCTACAATAAATCAAAAAATTAGCCGGGCGTGGTAGCGCGCGCCTGTAGTTCCAGCTACTCGGAAGGCTGAGGTGGAAGGATCGCCGGAGCCCAGGGGGTCGAGGCTGCGGTGGCCGGGAGCGGCCACTGCACTCTAGTCCGGGTGACAGAGTGAGACTCCAACACAAAAAAAAAAAAAAAAAACACACTTTACAAAAAAGATTATTCAAAACTAAGTTCAAAACCAGATAATTATACTTGGCAATACTCATCTTAATCTGAACTTTCATGTCACCAAAAAAAACCCCACTGTTTCCAAACATTTCCTCTTACTGGAGATAATATTGAATTACCTTAACAAAACCATAAAGGATAATCATAAGGTAAGTAGGTGGCAGAATGTCATATTCTTTTTTTTCTTACAAAATCCATGTACTACATGAGCGCCTAATTGTCCTTCTCATTTCTTCCTCTCATACGGCAAGATACTATAGATTTATAGACAGGAACAACGCAATTAAACTCGAAAACCGAAGTTTCCAAGTAGTAATTTGTTATGAATATGCCTTTCAGGGATGTTAAGTTTATTCTCACTTTTATATGCCTGGAGATGGAGTTTGAGAAAAATCAACAAATGCATGCATCATATACCTGGCATTAGTGCTATTATAAATTCTGACAAAGAGAGTTTTTGTATTATAACGGTACAAAGTCCATGAGGATTATGCTCTATCATTCAACTGCCTTTGTTGCCAGTTACCTTAAAGTTTTACTAACCCGTTTGGAACACCAGAGGCAGGAATGGAAACTAAGGTCACATTATATAGATTGATTTCTTGGCAGCTACAGAATGCCTACAGGGGCTGTTTGGGGAAATTGCTCATATGTTTGTAGGGTTTCTAGACCACACTTTGTTTTAGTCCTTCCATACTTACTGTGTAGGCAATGATGGAAGGCTAAAAAAAGTTTCACTATCCTGAGCTTTGTCAATCTTATACAAAATGCAATCTTACTACAATTCTACTATGTGGAAGAGTTTAGGGGACCAAAGAAAAAGAACTATGGACTGTTAGTGAAGAACATGAGTGGACCACTGCAACCTAGGTAGAATTATGTTCGTCAGCTTACTTGATCTAATACTGAGACCCAGAGACTTTATCTAATACCACATGCATTGTGACTTTAAGTATTTTTCTTTCTTTGCATTTAAGAGAAAGCATTGGCTAGGTACGATGGCTTATGTCTGTAATCCCAGCACTTTGGGAGGCAGAGGTGAGAGGACTGCCTGAGCCACGTGTTCGAGACCAACCTGGGCAACATGGCAAGACCAGGTCTCTAATAATAAATCAAAACGTTAGCCGGGCATGGTGGCACACACCTGTAGTTCTAGCAACTTGGAAGGCTTAGGCAGAAGGATCGTCTGAGTCCAGCAGGTCAAGGCTGCAGTAGCTATGATTGCGCCATTGCACTCCAGCGTAGATGACAGTGAGACTCTGACTCAAAAACAAAACAAATTTTTTTAAAAAAGCATTTATATATTACTAAGCACACTCTTCTAATGTATGACATTATACCCACATGATATTGGGACTAGTAAGTATCTTTCCACAATAATTTCATTTGGATTGAAAAGCTATGATCTTGCTACACAAAAACAAAAACAAACCTAGATTTGTTCTTTCAATGTAACTGAGAGTTTCTGTAAGGTGATATCTATCTTCCAATATAGTACAGTGAAATAAAATTGGTCTCTAGAGGCAGACATTCATGGATCCAGAATCTGATTCCACTTCGAAGTAAGCTGTAAGGATCTCAGACTTAATTTGTCTGTAACAGCTTAGGCCACCAAGTACTATTTCTTCCATTTAAATGATAGGGAAAACAAAATCTAAGATTTGTAAGTTATGATATTCAATTGATCATTGTGTACATTACATTTCTTGTAAATGATTTGGAAGACCAAAAAATGGACTTTAGTCTGTTTATCTACCATAATAGGTTGAACAGAATCTATATTGAGTAAGCACAGGAGATCCCCAGCCCCGAATCACTGAAAATTATTTTGACTTTGGATCACTCTGAAGTAATAACCTGTGAGTTTACACTGAATCCTTTACAATACAAATATAAAAGAAGAAATAAAATCTTTTTTCTTCAGAATTCCAAAAAATACTAATTTGCTAACATGTTTTTATAATATTCTAAAACTTTGTATCCTGGAGATAAAATATTATATAAACATAAAATCATGTTGCAAATATTTTTCCCAAGGAAGTTAACAGTGCCTAATATTCAGAAAATTTGGTCAACTTTCAATAAACTAAATTAAGTATCATTCTGCTTGTGTACATTTCTTTAAGTAGACTTGATTAACTCTTCTCTAAAAATTTCCTGTTGAGAAGTACAGTTTGATATAGACTTCTTAGAAAGAAAGAAATACTGGGGCAAACTTTGAGGAATAAAATGCAAATCAAATAGTACTCAAGTTGAAAAACTCTAGAATGTAAGGTCATTTAAAAAAAACTGATATCTGGGAAATTTCTGTAACAGCTAATGTGTTAATCAATGGTTTTGTTGGAAATTATGATCATACATGTGTATGCAAGAAAATGAGAGAGAGAGAGAGAGAAAATAAAATTGAAAGAATACAATTTGACAAAATCCTAAAACTTACTACCTTTGTATCAAAATTCTAATCTTATTTTTATATTAGTTTCAATATGAGAAACTCCTCTTTCTTCATGAACCAAGTCAACTAAAGGGTGTTTATGAAGCAGAGTCTAGAAAGAGACAGAATGAAACCGACAAGAATAATTAATATTCTCACCTTTAAATCAAAATACTTCAAACTTGACTCATTGTCTAATCTCACCATCTGCTCCTCTTATAATCACTATTGTGACAGATGACCATTAGAAATCCAGCTGACAACTCCAGTGATTCAACTGCCCTCTCCTTCACACCCCTCTCTCCGCTTCTCCAAATCTTGGCCAGAATTGTATCTGGTCCATGACTTTCATCAATTCTACCTGTAAAGGAGCAATTGAGTCCATGTCCCATCTCTTCTGCCAGTGTGAGTTCTAGCCCTCATCAACTTTCACATGGACTGCTGAGACAGCTTCTCAGTTGGTCTTTTTTCAAGTGATTTTTCACATGGTCACATAATATTCTTTATGAAACATGGAGTGGCCATATCACAGAGATATGTAAGATCTTTCCATGTCCCTGTCTATTGGAAAATATTTCTAACACATGACAAAAATAAAAAGATCCTCCAGAATCTGGCACTAAACTGCCTTTCTGCTATGGCTTCCACAACCATCCTGCCATCCAGGTAAGTGAAACTCACTTGTTTTCCATATACTGATGTACTTCTGACATATCACCAAGTACATTCAATATACTTGTCTCCTTGGTTTCTAGGCAACTTTTAAAATCTAGTTTACATATGACCACTTCTGTGAAGATGTTTTGAATTTTCGCCTCAGAAGGAAACTAATCGTCTGATCCTTGATGCCTCATAGCACTTTTTAATATTTCTTTAAAAAACATAATTAGGTAATAAATCAGTCCACTAAATTCCAAGCTCCCTGAGAATAGAGGTTCAGTCTTATTCATTCTTTTAACTCTCTCCCTTAAAATTCCATGACACAAATAAGTAGATAAATATTTGTAGAGTGAATGAATGATAGTTAGTGAGATCAAAGGGTCCTGAGTGGTACACTTGCCAGTGTGGTTTTAGGTTCAATCTAGAGCTCAATAGGCAACAAACAGAAACGGAAAGCATTAGAAATTGAAGCTCCCACGAGAAGTATTAGGACAGTAAAAATTATATATCTTTCTAGCTATATCCAAATTCTAGTCTTTTAAATGTTGAATACTTAGAATTATATTAGCTATGTTAAAATAAGACAGTTTCAAGTATACTGTTTTTGTAAAATATATTAATCAATTGTTTATGGAATACTGTCAAATATGCCTTTTATAGATTAGGGATTCAATAATTTAGGACTCTCTTGATAATTAACTCTTTGATATTAACAATTATGCAATTTGGGTTTATTAAATAGCAATAAATAATTATTGTTTATTATTTAAAATGGGGGTATTCTGACATTTGTGAATGGCTCTGGTCTTTTTTCTGCCCTATTTTAGATATTAGATATTCCATGAATTTCCCAGTGATTTATAACCATTTTAATTAGAGGTAGTTCCAAAAGTCTAATCTAGTTGTACAGATAGCAATCCTGTCTAATTGTTTCTAATTATGTATTATCTTAACAGATCAATTGACACAGACACTTTTATTTTCCCAATTCATTTTATGGAGCATAAAAATAAATGTCAGAATTTTATATTTTTAAAACCCAGTAGATGGCAGTGCTGGCTTTAGGATTACAACAACAACAACAACAACCAAAAAATGCTATTGAATTAAATATTTCAAAAACTTTAAATCGTCATTCTTGTTCTAGTTAGAGACGAAAATGTTTCCACATTGGTCCAAAAAAATAAAAACTTATACCTCTATTTTGTGGACAATAAAAATATGTCGTCTTTTTAGAATTGCACTTACATTTTCCAAGTTGGTTTCCAGAAGTAAAATACATTTTTTGGTACATTTTTACAAGACAAGTTGAAAGGTGTAAATTGTTCAGATCCCAGCCAGAATATGGCATAGAACCTTGAGGAGATGTGTTTGCATCTTACCCTCCTTAAGAATCTCTGACCCAAGGAACAAAGAAAAATTGAATGGAAATAGCCATTGGGATTCACCGTTGCTCGATGTAGTAAAGCACTGGAAATTTTAAGTGTTTTGTCTTACTTTAAAACAGCATTTGCTGATAAATGTTACTCTAAAATCCAAGTCTTGACTTAAGCTCCATGAGAACAGAGGTTCAGTCTTATTCATTCTTTTAACTCTATCCCTTAAAATTGCATGACACAAATAAGTAGATAAATATTTGTAGAGTGAATGAATGATAGATAGTGAGATCAAAGGGTCCTGAGTGGCATATGTTGACATCTGACTATATCTTCAAAGAATGTACTTATGAGTAAATGAATTGGCTGCTAGTATTGATACTGCAGGTGTTGTGATAAAGTTTCCAATGAATTTATCCTATAACACAACACAAGGAAGTATAAATATGAAGGACTTAATGTCCAGATTGTAATGTTGAACATCAAGATTAAAATCAACAATATAAGCATTCAAATTTACCATCTATAAAGAGGTGTATATTTTTTCAAAACTTAAATTTCTGTATTTTTACAGATGATTTATTTATCAAATGAAATCATACTTCTATTAGGAATTGAAGTACATACTTACAAATAAGAAACTCAATGGCAAAAAATAATAAATATTCCAACATTGGACATATCTCACCAATTGGAATTTTAAATAATTTCTTTTTTTTTTTTAAGGAAATGTCTCAGTAGAGTGCCTACCTGGAACAAGGCCTTGTGCTGATGCTCTGAAGTGTATAACAATTGATTTATTTTGTGATGGACAATTAAACTGTCCAGATGGTTCTGATGAAGACAATGAAACCTGTGGTAAGTTAATACCCCTACTCTTTCCTTTTCCATTTATTCTCCCTCACTATACACACACACACACACACACACACACACACACACACACACACACACATACACACACAAATCAGATATCTGAAACTACTAAAGAATAAGCTATTCCAAAAGCTATGTTTATATATAACATAAAATTTAAAAAATAGTATTAATATTTTCCTAAACTTCATACATTGCATTAAACATATTAACTACATCATTTTGGTACCATTGAGTTTTCTTTTAGAACTGTTGAAAGGTTATTGTGATTAACAATATCTGTCTTGAAGGTGGGAAGAGAGTGTCAATAATTTTCATCCCGACTTGAGATTAAACTACTTAAAATTATTATGACCTTGACTTCTTACATATACATTCTCACTTCTTACTAATGGTTTTTCATGTGTTTTGCCATCATTTTTCTATTAGTCTTTCATTTTTTAACATTTTAACAGTACCCAACTCAATGAATACCATTTTAAAATTTTGAGTGTTGCATTTATTTGCCTCTTGTAGCACTGCAAATTATGAACACCAGTTATGAATAAGAGCTTAATGCCTGATAAGTAAAACATCTGTGGTTTACTTGTATATGTTGACATCTGTTTTGAGTGTTAGTAATAATAATATTTTATTATTTTTATTATTTGGCACTTAAGTAGCTCTTACTATATGCCAAGCATGGCTTTAAGTGGTTTAAACATATTTATTCTTTGGCTTACTTCTTTATTTTATAGCTGGTTTCCATTTAGAAAAGTTTACTATGAAGCAGCATCTAAGTGGATAATTTATTTTTTGTGTACAACATAGCTAAGAAAATGGCCGTGTAAAACCAGAGTAGCTCCCCTTGTCCACAATTTCCACAGTTTCACCTCCCGTGGGTCAAAATATCAAATGGAAAATTCCAAAAACAAAAAAAATATGAATTTTGCATTATGTCCTTCTGAATATTGTTATGATTGCTCTATTTTATTATTTCTTTGTTGTTAATCTCTTACTGTGCATACTTTATAAGTTAAACTTTATCATAGATATATATATACATAGGAAAAAACATAGTGTAAGTAAGGCTTGGTACTATCCATGGTTTCAGGCATCCACTGGGGGTCTTGGAACGTAAACTCTGTAGATAATGGGGAATTATTGTACTTGGAGAAGTCTAACATATATTTTTTAATTCACACAGAAAGCATGAATTGCACATTTTTTGGTATGGCTTATAATATTTTAAAATTGATCATGAGTACAATTAGTTATTCAAGTGTATTAAAGGCTTTAGTTACTATTTGCCACACTTCTCTTTTTATTATGTGTTACATTTTTCTCATCTTGCTTGATATTAATCGAATGTTCCAATAACAACCAAAGTTTTAAAAATTACCTATCCACTTTGTACATATTTTGAAAGACAGGCTGTTGATCTGTTTCCCAGTACTGGATTCAACAAAAGCCAACTCTACTACAGAGACTTCCACTAAGCAATCCCAATTCGAATGTTCTTGGATAAAATTCAACCCTTTAAAGTTTAACTACGTACTTTGAAGTGCACTCAGAGCATATTGGAAGAAAGTGCAGGCTACAGAATATTTTTAAATCTATTTTATATAACTAAGTTACTCAAAAGGAAGAAAGCAGCCTTCTTTTTTTGCTATGGTGTTCAGGTATTTTCCAAAACCTTTTCATAACAAATATGATACAAGTATGCCATCATGAGGTAACAAAGGCAATGCTGACTTTTAGTTCAAAGATAATAATGTATGTCAGTTTAGATACACAGCTTTAAACCACTGTGCAATGATGCTTACCTAAAATAGGATAAATAAATCACTAATAAATTAGATGAATCAAATAAACAGAAAGTGTAGCACACCTATTTTCTGATCTCTACCCCATGGAGTTCATTGTTTTCATGATAAATCATGATCAGTGCACATCAAAAAATAACCACAGATATATCATGTAAGTGTGAAAATTTGTCCTACCGTAACTTTTAAGGCCAATAATTGTTTGTCTGAGCCACTATAAACTCATGAGATGACCCTCAATATTAAAACCTAATTGTTTAAATGCTTTAAAAAACATAATCAAGCTACATTATTACTTTTTGGTATCATGGTGGTTTTGTGTTTCTTGAAATTTGGTAGTGACAAGCCTTTCATGTCACTGACTCTGTTAAGTCTCTAGATACTTCTTTTCCATTTTCTTGATTCTCTTATTTGTAGTTCACAGTTGGGATTGTATCTAATTTGGTAAATACATTTAAAACATTTCTGGGATAAAGTAGTGGAAAATACAAGAAATTAGCCTATGCTTATCCAGCAAGAATTCAAGAGTACAAGTTGTATTTATTTTAATCATTGATGGTGATGAACCCACAAGCCTAGTGGATTTCAGTACCAACTCAAGCTCCCAGCATCACCTCTACCTGAAAGCTCCTGTTCATCAATCTACATTCACACATGAATTTAAGATAATTTTCTCTATATGAAATTGACCTTTAGTCTCTCTCATGTTTATTTATTTATTATATTATTTTTTGCTCCAGGTGTGAGCTCTAATTCTGATTGTGCTGTTAACAGAATCACGTTAATGTTGACTTCCTCACACAGCTTCCTTTTTTAGTCTTTAGTTATTTGGGTTTGCAGAACTTATAGCTGACTATAGCTGAATGAAGATTTCTTTAAATTGTTTTTCTCTTATTAGAATTACATCAGCAAAAAAGTTCACTTTTAGCTGACACATGAGAAGAAAAGATGCTGACTCACAGACTTTAGGTCAAGGCACAGGACCATTTGGAAGTTGGCAAGTGTCTTCATAGTTTGTATGTCTCATTTGCACGAGCATAATAGACCTGGTGGGTGGTATATAGATCATGTTTCATGTTTATATCTTGGAGAATTCAATGGTCTGAGCAAACACACGATTAGTAAATATTGTACCAGCAGAGGGAGCTCTCAACAGTCCTAAGCACGTACCTTTATGAATTCAATCTCATCACGGGTAACGTTTATAGCATGGCTGTTATTATTGGACAGTTTCATTTATCTTCTTCTCAGAAGTTTTTTTCCAGATGCTGCACTAGGAAGCACTGTGCAGTCTAAAAAGTCATAATTCTGAACACGCAGCATTCCTACTCATCCACAGCTGTTTTTTTTTCCTCCCTAAAAGCCTATCCTGCTTCATTGTAATTTGTATTTAGGTTCTCCAGAAACAGCCTGAAATTAAATGAAAGAATATATGAGAAAGCCTTTTGCAAAAGCCTGCATCTTGAAATGACAATATTTTGTCATTCCAAACTTTGCTGTTAGAGTAACTTAATACTATTGTAATTTTATTCTAAATTCCTTCTGGAATAGTCTTCATCTTTGCCCGCATGCAGGAATTTACCTAAGGCTAGTTAGAGCAGAATTTGATTTGTAGATTATTCATTCCCACTAAACTTAACAAATTCATAGGAAATTAGACAGGGAAATTCTTCAGGACATACTAAATAATACTATGACAAACAATCGTATTAATTTAAAACAATAACTGTTTATTTATAACCTATATCACAATGCATAAAGAATGGCAAAGGGCAGCATTCTACAAAGGCATTCAGGGTGCCAGCTCCTTGCCTGCCACTCTCTCCTCTCTGAGTCTTCTCTGGCTCCTTTACAACCTGCTGACAGACAAGAGAAGAATGTTACAAATCTGCTTAGAAATCATACTTGGAGAGGCCGGCCTCGGTGACTCTGCCTGTAATCCCAGCACTTTGGGAGGCCGAGGCGAGTGGATTGCCGGAGACTGCAGGTTCGAGACCAGCCCAGGCAACTTGGCGAGTCCCCATCTGTATTGAAAAAAAAAAAAAATTAGCCGTGAGCGTGCCACTAAACTCCAGCCTGGGCAACGGAGTGAGACTCCAAAGATCGTATTTGGAAATACACACAATCACTACTACAGTACTTTCTTGGACATCTCAGCCACATGACCTCATCTGACTGCAAGGGATTTGGGGAAGTGTAGTTTAGTCATGTGCCTAGGAAGGGACTGAAATGGGTTTTGTCAAGCATAGAACTATCTTTGCCAGTAGAGACATAACTCAGATTTTTGAAAAATCATAAATCCTCTTGTGCAGCATAAAGCTGTTGATATCTCTCCCAAATAGTGTAGAGAATGGGTGCGAAGAGGTACTACAAATTTAGTAGCTTTGCAAATAAGATTTATTAATTTTAAAACAGATCTTGTTTTGTTCTCTTTTTGTTCTCTTTCTTGTGTTCTTGTTCACAATAAACAGTATAAAATGCTATTGAAAATGTGATCTATATTGTACTTTTGAGAACATTGAAAAAGACGAAACTACTTTTTTTTAAGTTCCTGCTTCTTTTATTTATGCTTTCCCTCTTGCTTTTTAGGTCAAAGAGTGAGAGTTGTCGTTATAATGGCTGTATATATTGTGGTATTAGGCAATATAACACAGTATGCTCTGGACTAAAACTGCCTGGCTTTAACTTGTTGCTTATAAGCTCGGAGTTGGTGCTAGCCACTTGACCCCTCTAACCCTCAGTTTTCCCAGTTATAACTTCATAGGGTTTTTATGAAGATTACATTAATACATATATAATGACTTTAGAAAAATGGCTGGCACATAGTAAACGCTCCATAAGAGTTAGCGGTTGTATTTTAGAGCTGGTAGGATTCATTACTCTACTTCCTTGGTTCCTAAGAATCATAATTCAAATACAAAGTATTTACAATAGCAGTGGAATTTACTGCACTGCCTACAGTCTTTGAGTCCATGCTGTTTCTTGACAAACTGTTATTAAAAGGCTTTATATATCATAAAATGCAAGCAAACACTAAATTTTTTCTTATGGTCTTTGACACTAAGGCATTAATTGTCCCATTTGTTTGGCAAGGTTTGCAGTGGGAAGAGAGATGAGAGCCAGGAAAGAGATTTGTTTTTACAAATAGAAAATTATTTAGTCCTTTATTTAAAAGTCCCATATTTTACTATATGTTTTCAAATCATAAAAAATTATTCTTAATTTTTCTTGTTGCTGTAGTAATTATTATACATAAGGAGATTCAATTCTCTAAACAAACCACAATTTTTCTCTATTTTCTTTCCTGTGTTCGGTGCTGAATAGTCCAGAATTTATTTAATCCTTGCTTCCTGTTCTTCATTTGTTATTTTTTAAAGTTTTTTCTTTTCTTTTCTTTTTTTTTTTGGTCTCCTGCTGGGCATCAGGTTATCAAGTCATATGCCAATGCAGATAATTCCTAAGCCATTGTTTTTAACAGACTTTGAATCTTAAAATTAACTTATCAAGGTAAATTTTTTCTCTTTTCCCCACCCGCCTCCCACCTGTACATTTTTATGCTTTTAAGAAACATACTAAAAATAACAATAACACTATAAAAAGCATGGGATTTTTACCAAGATGCATATGTAGTATTCAACTTTTCAATTTATTTATTTTTATCAGTATAAAATGTTTGTCATATAATAGTTTTCATTGTATAACTTCATAGAATTGCAGTATATTTCAAAGTGAACTTTTTAATACATCCATTTGGGTTAGCTTATTATAGCACTCAGATTGCAAAAGCAACAAATTAATTTGGTTATATTTCTTTGACTCTCCATCTGACATATGAGGAGTTTGCAATCTACCTAGAGAAAAAGGGCACTTTCAAGCCCTTTTTTATTTATCATATTTTTAGAATATGTTGTCAACAGAAGTAACAAAGTGTAAAGAAAATAATATAAGAAAAACTAAAAGTTGTAAAAATCAAATTAATTTTTTTTGCCTTAGCATATACTGCACAGAGTAAGTATACAAGGAAAACAAAAATCTATAGGTATGGCTTCTGGTTCATGCCTCCAAGAAGATTTTAATCTAGATGGAAATTAGGCATATATAAACTAAAACATACCAATAAATGCCTGAGAAAGTTCATGAAGTAAATGTGTTACAAGAGCTATATAAGGAAAATGAGTAATCGTGGGAAGCAAAAGGCTGAAAATATTGAGTTAGATAATGAGTCTATTCAAAAGGAGTGATAAAGTTTAGAAGGTGAGTAAAACAAATTGGATGGAATTCTCTGTGGGCTACTAGCACTAATATTTGACCTTATTTTCATCATTTTCAGGAGAGCATAATATCTTGTGCATATATTTGAAATTCACCTAGCTCCATCTTAATGAGGAAAATAAGACAAAATATTAATTATTATTTGTCTAAATTGGCAGGTTACAATTCATATATATGTGTTTTCTTGCAAATATGGAAGAATGCACTTATGATGCAACTTAGGTATAGGAGTTTAGAAATGGAATGCTTTTCTAAAGTACTTAATGATGGAGCATGTAAGACTATTTGAAATTAGCAGACAGATTTAAAACATGAGATCTTATTTACTCTCATTTGGTTATTTCAGTTTTGTAAAGTAGCCTTGTACAGATTCTGCCATGAGTGTTCTGAGAAATGTTTGTTAACCAATTTGAATCCCAAGATTGTTTTTGTCTAACTTTAACTGGCATCACTTTGCAGCTACAGTTTGTGATGGAAGATTTTTGTTGACTGGATCTTCTGGGTCTTTCCAGGCTACCTATTATCCAAAGCCTCCTGAATCGAGTGTTGTTTGCCAGTGGATCATACGGTAATATGCTATATTCTATTTTCTGTTCTTAAGTCATAAAGTCTTTTTTTGATGCAATGTCTTATCACTTTCAGCAGTAGTTTTTTTCATGATCGTTGTTTTCATTAACTATGAAGTAAAGTCCTTTCAACTGACAAACCTATTACAATGTTACTCTCTTAAATCTTAACCTTTTAAAAAGGTGTTCTGTCCTATGAATAACACTGTCTAATAAATGGAGCCATCTCTTTGGGCTCTAAATTAAGTTTTGTATGTGTACAGTAAGAAGAAATCATGTGCTGGCAAGGAATGACAGTAATAGAAGAAATGGAATTTTATATCACCTACATCTGTCTACAGGATAGTTACCTTCTCACGATGCCAGTACTTGTATGAAAATTTCCAATGATGTGATTTAGTAGCAGTGGATTAAGAGCAGAGAACATCCTCTGTATACAAATTTTTCTTTTTTTGTTGTATCTTGAATGAGATTTGGATCTGTAACTACATATTTGACCTCCAAACTTTTAATTTGGTTGACCAATCCAATCCTTTTGATGATCAAAATCATTGGGTTACTGATAGCTGATCTGAGTGTTTATCTAAGCATTTTTCACAGAAGTAATACCTGAAGTTCCTTCCAAATATTCCAAGGAGAAAAAAAAGTGCTCAAATAAATATGAGGGATATTGAAATAAACTCATTAAAACTTTTTAAAAATTGCAGAACTTCTCATAGCCTTAAATATGCTAATATGCAGTGTCAATCTCCATGAAAAGCTTTCCAATTAAGCCACTGAATATTGCCCCCATAGAGCATGCAGAATAAATGTTCCAAGGAAATCACTATGAAAAGTTATATTCTAGTTCATTTCTCTTAATAGCTGAATGGGCTCATGATTTCCTAATCTGACCTAAGGTATAATAATTTTAGTCATTGTGATGCCTCGCAGGAAGACTAGAGAAATCAATATAATAGCTGATTAATTGATTAAAGAAGGTTCAAAGGCAGACCATCACTTTCTTCCCCAACAAATAACATAAAATGACCCCATAAATAATCACTCATATAGACATATGCCAGAGAAGAGATATGAAAAAAGATTGCTCTACTAAAATTTACTTGACATTATTCAAGTAAAGGACATCCTGTTGTGTTGAATTTCTATTTGTAGCTCAATCCCCTGTCAGATAAGTGATATAACTAAGAGAACAATTTGTTTCATGTTCTAGACAACATGCTATTTGTATGCCAAAAATAAGATTAAATGTTTAAAATGTTCTAAGTTATTCTCGCCAACTGAAGAATTAACCAAGTTGAAAGATATTGCCTCCACTCACATTTATATGTGAAATATATAGCTACATATAATTGCAATAAGTCCCTTACGTGCGATCCTTCAAGATGTGAATTTTCAAAGATCTGAATGTTAGTTATTATGTACAATCACATAAGTAGTTCATGTATCTGGCAACATTGTCATGTGCTGTACTGTAAAATTCAGAATGCTTTCTTTATTTTTTGTGTTTTCTATGTATTATTTGTGTTAAAAAGTACTATAAACCCATTACAGTATAGTACTCTCTAGCTGATGGTGTTAGTTGGGTACCTAAGCTAACTTTGTTGGATTTACAAACAAATTGGAAATATAAATGAGCTCTCAGAATGAAACTCATTCATATGTAGGAAACTTATAGTACATCAAATTTAAAAGAATGGCTATTAGCACTGTTCATTAGGAAAATAATTCAGTTATTAATTTAAAATGTCAGTAGAAAGTCTTAGAAGATCATAAGTTACTTTCACTGATAATGGAAAGAATATATAAATTATATAAAATAATTTGCATCCTTGGGTACACAATTATTTTTTCATGGAAACTTTGAAATATTTTTAATATCAAATAAAAATAATATAATTGTTAATAAAATAACAATAATTTAGTTCTTAATAAATATAGGTCAGATTTAGAGGGTTTATGAGAAGAACACACAATAGACTTTTGTTAAAATAATAATATTCTTTATGCTACAAACTTCCTATATTAATTGAGAAATTTTAGGTCCCATGATTTTTACTGCCTTTCCATTTCTGCACTTAATTTTTGAAACTAAAGAAACCCACTCTTAGGGTAGGGATGATTTGAAAAACCTGAGGAATCTAAAATATTATTCCAAAACAAATACTATGCTTCATGATGCGACTATGATTTAATGAATCACACAAATAATTTATGTTTTTCTCAAAACTGGTTATTATATTAGAGATGCATTGCACTAGATAGTTTGTTTTCTCTCAATAGTAATCAAAACGAGGGTAAAGACAGCAATTTTTCTGCAAGCTTGCAAGAACAATTAAATATTGGAGAAAATGTGTAAGATGTAACTGAACTATATTTTGGGATAGACAAGCTTAGCTGTTGAATTACATTAGGCTACATTTTGCATAAGATCAATAGTGAAGAATATAAATATTGGAGACATTCTGTGTGGATTCAGATCTAGCTTCTTCAGATTCAAGATGTGTGATCTCAGACAAATTACTAAACCTCTTTTGCTCAAAATAGAGTTCAACTACTCTGCTCAAAGTCATTATTAAATATGGTAATAAGTGCAAAGTATGTTTAGCTAAATATTAAGCCCTCAATAAAAGTGGATTATAAAAAGATTAGCTAACAATACAAAAATACAAAGTGTATACATTAAATTTGAAGAAGTGCTCATGTCTTCAAAAAATCAGAAGGCAACCAAGATGTCAAACATTACAAAACTATCTGATTATATCCTTCAGTTAATCTTGGTTTTATAAAGTCCTGTGGTTTTATTGCAAGTCAGTTGGCTTTTCTGAATCAGAAGAAAGTAGAAAACAGTATGCACATTTTTCTCTGGGTTTCTTCTAATTACCTATTTTGAGAAAGCAAAGGACCCTTGAAAACAAAGGCTTCTGGGGAGTTTCTCTGGCAGTCATTCCTTAGTCTCACAGCTTGAAAACATCCAATGAAGAACTCACTATTATTCTTGCCTGGAGTCACCAAAGCTTTAATTAAAAGAGGAGAAATCATTACTCATGGCTACTTTATTTCTTCTGCCTCTGTCTTTAGCTTTGACTCTGGATCCCCTAAACATCTCACTGCACTTACTCGACCCATCCCTGAACTAACCTAAAAGAGGCAGAGCTTAAGTATTTAGCAGTCACCACCACAGCTTTCCTCTCTGTCTCTCAGTCTGGTTTGGGAAGATCTGCTGCTCTGAGAGTAACCATGAGTGTGGCATCTCCTATACTTACCTATCTCACTTCAGGAGCCCTCAAGCCTAAGACACATCACAATCACCCCTGGAGCTTATCACCACATATATCCCAGAATTTACTCCAGAACTGCTGGATCTGATAGGATTGAAGTTCATATGTCATTTTTTTTTTTTTAATAGTCCATCACTGTTCTAACTTTACTTCTCTGGCAACAAACACTGCTCAGGTGCAAAAATCTGTGTTTCCATTTAGATGCCTTTTAATTCTATTTCACTATCATCAACCTCATTATATGAAGACTAATCTCCAGCCCTGAATGTCAGCACCCTGCCCAGAATTATGGTACAGTGTTTGATAAACCTGGGATCTTGCCACAGATGGATATTTCCCAACAATAACCTATTGACTTCCAAACATTAACTTTATGAAGAAGTCCTCAATTGCCTAATTGGCCATGTTACTACTGAGGGCATACCTAAAAACCAAGTTTGCCATGCCCTTGGCCATAATACCTTGTTCTCCCAACATCTTTTAGTGCCAGTTTATGAGACAAGTTCATTTCTCAAGGCTTCTGTTTGGCTTTGGAAACAAGTATCTACCTAATTTGAGTTCTTTGAGTTTTCTCTTCTGGGTTCATTTACAGATAACCCATCCAACCTCATGACCAAGTAAGCTTAAATGTCATCACCCACGCTTTTATTTCTCTTTCTGTCTACTCCCTTTTGGAGGAATTCAGAGGAACTTTGTACTTCCAACACATTCAGAGGAATTGTTTACATTTTTTTTATTCTAACATTTCACTGAAATAGTGGAGTTGTAAATAGAGATTGCCCTAGGCTCCTTCTCCTGAAATTATTATCTGAACATGAAAATTTTATTTTTAAATATCAATTAAAACTGTCTAATGAAGCTGTCACACTATTCCTCCTATGTTCATACAGACAGCTAGATAGATTTTGTTTTTTACATTAACAAGTATGTATTTGTTTTCACAAAGTATTGAAAAGTATAAGAATAAATGAATTAATTATTTTCTTTTAGTAACACAAATTCTGATAGGCAAGCCAATTAAGTATGTGGCTAATAATTAATTGCAGAATATAATAGTTGCCACATTGATAGTATGAACAACATACTCATAAATGGATCAGAAGACTTAATATTATCAAAATGTCCATACTACCCAAAGCGATGTATACACTCAATACAATCCCTATCAAAATACCAATGGCATTTTCTGCAGAAATAGAAAACATTGTAAAATTTATAAGGAACCAGAACAAAACCAGAATAGCCAAAGCAATCTTGAAAAAGAAGAACAAAGCTAGAAGCCTCATACTTTCTAATTTCAAAATATATTACAAAGCCCCAGTAATAAAAACAGTAATGTACTGGTATAAAGACAAACAGACCAATAGACAGAATGGAAAGTCCATAAATAAGCCCTCACATATATGATTGACTGATCCTGAATGAGATTGCCAAGACAACACAATGGGGAGAGGAATAATCTTTTCAACATATGGTGTTGGAAAGACCTGAAACTCATGTGTAGAAGAATGAAATTGGGTTTTTAACTTACACAATACACAAAAATCAACTCATAACAAACTTAAGACTTAAATGTAAGAGCTAAAATCTTAAAGCTAGAGAAAAAAGAAAGCTTGTTGACATTAGTATTAACAACGATTTCCAATAACAACACAAGCAACTAAAACAAAAATAAATGAGTGGGATTATATCAAAGTAAAGCTTCTGTGCAATAAAAGAAACAATCAAAAGAAAAAAAGGCAGCTGATAGAATAGGAGGAAATATTTGCAAATTATGTAACTGATAAATGGTTAACATTCAAAATATGTAAGAGGCTCCTAAAACTTTATAATAAAAAAAACTTAAAAGTGGGCAAAATTGCCAGGTAAGGAGGGATAGCTTTGGCAGTAGTGGGAAACTGCCAGAGGAGGGGAGACACACCTCATCAACAAGGTCACCTGCATAATGAACATTTGTATACTTGACCCCGAATTGTACCCCACATTTTAAAAATAAAATTATTTTTTAAAAAGAAAGTAATCAGAAAATATAAAAGAAAACAGAGCTAATATGAAGGTAACAGAAAAGGGTGAAGAAAGTAGGCTGGAAGCAGGATTCTGTGCAAATCTCAGACCAAAGTAATTCTGAGTCTGGGGACCTAAGTTTTATTATTTATAGAAAGAAGGATGCCTGACAGTCCCAGGATCATATGCCTTTTTCAACCCAAAGATCACTGACATGTGGATTGTTTAGATGGATATGAATAAACTAACACTGAGAAAGAAAAACAAGCCCCGCTTGGTGGCTCAGCCTGTAATCCTGCGCCTTTGGGAGGCTGAGGTGAGTGGATTGCCTGAGCCCGCAGGTTCGAGACCCGCCTGGGCAGCGAGACCTCATCTCTACAATAAATCAAAAAATCAGCCGGGCTTGGTAGCGCGCGCCTGTAATTTCAGCTACTTGGAAGACTGAGGCGGAAGGATGCCAGAGCCCAGCAGGTCGAGGCTGTGGTGGCCGGGAGCGGCCACTGCACTACAGTCTGGGCGACAGAGTGAGACTCCAACTCAAAAATAAAAATAAAAAAAGAAAGAAAGAAAAACAAAGGGGCAAAAGATTTAAGTAAACATTTATCTAAAAACATGTAAATGCCCGACAAGTTTATGAAAAGATGTTCAACATCACTATTTATTAAATAAATGCAAGTTAAAATCATGAAACATCGCCTCAATCAGATATCCCCTGTTAAGATGGTCATTACCTAAAGCAAACAAACAAACAACAGAAAATAATGTGTTGGCAAGGATTTGAAGAAAATGGAAACCTTGTACACTGTTAGTAGAAATGCAAAATGCTATAGCTGCTGTGAAAAACAGTATCTTCCTCAAAAAATTAAAAATAGAATTCACATGTGAACCAGAAATCCCAATACTGAGTATTTATCTCAAAGAGATATCTACACTCCTAAGTTCATTTCAGCATTATTCACAATAGCCACGAGAGAGAAAGAATGTGGATGTCCATTAACAGATGACTAGATAAAGGCAATGTGGTATTTACATAAAATGGAATATTATTCAGTCATGAAAAGGAAGGAAATCCTATATATACTGCATGATTTCACTTACATGAAGCTTCTGAAGTAGGCAAACTCAAGGAAATGAAATGAGAATGGTGGTTGCTAGTGGCTGGGGAGTAGTGAGCAATGGGGCATTGCTGTTCAATGGATATAGAAAAAGCTCTAAGTCTCTGCTGTGCTACACTGAGTTCAGAGTTAACACTGCACCGCATTTAAGAGGGTAGATATTATGTTATATGATTTTTATCACAAGAAAAGAAAATACATACAAATTCTAGACTGCTTTAAAAATTATGACAACTGCCGGGCTCAGTGGCTCAGCTGGTAATCCCGTGCCTTTGGGAGGCTGAGGTGAGTGGATTGCCTGAGTCCGCGGGTTCGAGACCCGCCTGGGCAGCGAGACCTCATCTCTACAATAAATCAAAAAAAAATCAGCCGGGTGTGGTAGCGCATGCCTGTAATTCCGGCTACTTGGAAGGCTGAGGTGGAAGGATTGCCGGAGCCCAGCAGGTCGAGGCTGCGATGGCCGGGAGCGGCCACTGCACTCCAGTCTGGGTGACAGAGTGAGACTCCAACTCAATAAAAAAAAAAAAAAAAAAAATTATGACAACTATTAAAAGATCTATAATCAATTTTCTGCTTTTATTTTAGTGTACATCAAGGACTTTCCATTAAAATCAACATTAATTCTTTTAGTACATATAATACAGATGTACTGAATATTTATGAAGGAGTAGGATCAAGCAAGATATTAAGAGGTAAGTTAAAACAATTATACAATTCATTATTATATGGAAAATATGTGGAGAACCTTTTTTTGAAGTGATAGGTCTTCCCTGATTTTTGAACTGAATTCAGACTTGAAATTTACATCACTGAAAAGACAAAACAAGCTGGTTCTCATAAAAACTAGAAAATTAGTGTTCTATGTCATCTTCTTTGTAATAAAACAGTTACTATTTCACATTGTCCTCTTCTAACTGATGTCTTAAAAAATCATTGAAATTTGCCAAAAAATTATAGATTTGGTTACCATACATTTAAAAAATATTACTTCCTATTAAGCAAAATTCAGATAAACCCAGAAAAGTACTATTCTATTTTTCTCCATCATTGTGTAGGTTATAAACTCACCGAGTCTTTGTTCTTATTTTCAGTGTAGCACTCTACATCCAAATTTTTGCAAGATTAACACTAATAAAGTGAGCAACACAGTGTCTAGCACAGGCAGTAGACTCAGTGAACAGTAGATGTGGGTGACACTATTACTACATAACCATTAATCATGAGTCATGGACATAGATGGAAGCTGAGAAGAGCACAGGGTATGCAATAGCATATACACCTCACTTTGCTCCACCCCAAAATTCACAGACCTATTCACAGTAGCTGATGAAAATAGGGGCAATATTCCAGGAAGAAATAAAATGAGAGTGAAGTAGAGAATGCAGAAATGGAGCCCAGGGAATAATCAGTTTTCCTCACACATTGGGGAATTAGTCAAGTGTTGAGCTAAGATGAGGTTGTGAGTGTTACCTGTGATTAAATTTTATATAATAATTGCAGTAATTTTAATAACTTTTTATTGCAAATTGCATTTGTGGGTAATTAACAGTGAATTCTACACAATAAAATCTTTTGATTGATTTAATTATTTTTAAAATATTTAAGCATATGATAATAATATTTGGTTTGTATTTGGTGCTAATGATGTGCAACTATACCAAATGATTTATGTAGAATTTCTTATTTAATGTATTCAGCATACCTGCACAGTATATATTTTAAAGAGTAAAATGAGGCCTAAGATGCTAAATTACCATGAGTTCATCTAGTTAATTAGTGCTGAAGACAGAAATCAAACCCAAAACTCCCTGACTTCAGACACAATACAATTATTCATTGTGTTTTAAAAAGCCCAAGTACAAATATAATGAGTATATATAAAATATATAAATTCATGGCAAGTCACATTTGATCTAAATAAATGGGCCAACCATTTCATAATCTATTTCTGTAGATTATGCATGCAGTTCCTTAAAATTATGTTCCATAACAAGGGTACATGCATAATGAACATTTGCATACCTAACCCTGAATTGTACCCCACATCTTTGAAGTAAAAAAAAATTAAAAGGAAAAAACTTATAATCCATAGATGGACAAATAAGCTAGCACATATAAATATCTCCAAAGACTACAGTGGTACTAATAAATCTTACCATGCGTTGATCACTTCAAATGTATAAAGCAGTATTGTCAGTCCTTTAAGCTAACTAAATAAATGCTTGGCCAAATTTGTTATGTAAGTGCTATTATAATCTCTACTATACAGATGATGAAATCTAAATTTGTAGAAGTTAGGTGCCCAATAAGTTATAGGTGTGAGTTATCCTCATGTTCCCTTAATCCTCCAATATTATGGTTTGTCTGAATACAGTTTTCCTGTGCTTAGCTTACCAGCATGAATAAATTATAGAATAATTAGGCATAGTGATGTGAATAATGCACAAATAAGTACTATGAAAATATAATAAGAAATTAGTTTACACCCAAGTAGAAAAAAATCTATAAATGTGTCTTTAATTTGTAATAGGCAGTTGCTTAATTTTAAGGTCTTTGAACTAAAAATTTATTTTAAAGTTTTGAAAATTAAATATTTTAACTTTAACTGAAAAACATGAGAGATTATTGGGTGTTCAAATTAAATTAAAAGAATAACTTTTTTCTTAAGAAAGGCAATGATATTTTATCTCCAGCATCTAGCACAATATCTGATATATTGTAAAAACTCAATAGTTGTTTATTTTCATATACGTTCACAGATTTATAGTTTTTTTTTTTTCTTTTTTATTATTATAAAGATTTGGGATACAATTCAGGGTTAGGTATACAAACATTGATTATGCAGGCACCCTTGTTGATGAGGTATGCCCCTCCCTCCCCTAGGAGTTTCCCTCAACTGCCAGTCCCACCCCCCTCCCCTGACAGTTTCCCATTACTACCAATCACTTTCTTATAGTATTATAATTGTTCAAGATTCCCTTATGAGTGAGAACATACAGTACTCTGTTCTTTCTTTCTGTGATAGATCACTGAGTATGATCAACTCTAAATCCATCCAAGTTGCTGTGAAGTCCATATGTTTATCCTTCCTTATGGCTGCATAATATTCCATTGTGTATACTACCACATTTTTTTATCCAGTCCAGTTTTGATGGGCAACATGATTGGTTCCATATTTTTGCTATTGTGAATAGAACTGCAACAAACATACTTGTGCAGGTATCTTTTTTGTAGAATGACTTGAGTTCTTCTGGGTATATCCCCAGTAGGGGAATTTCTGGGTCATATGGAAGGTCAATTTCTAGTTCTTTTAGAAATTGCAGCCGGGCTCGGTGGCTCAGCCTGTAATCCCGCGCCTTTGGGAGGCTGAGGTGAGTGGATTGCCTGAGCCCGCGGGTTCGAGACCCGCCTGGGCAGCGAGACCTGTCTCTACAATAAATCAAAAAATCAGCCAGGCGTGGTAGTGTATGCCTGTAATTCCAGCTACTTGGAAGGCTGAGGTGGAAGGATCGCCGGAGTCGAGCAGGTTGAGGTTGCGGTGGCCAGAATTGGCCACTGCACTCCAGTCTGGGTGACAGAGTGAGACTCCAACTCAAAAAAAAAAAAAAAAAAAAAAAAGAAATCGCCACAGTGTCTTCCAAAAAGGTTGCACTAGTTTGCATTCCTTCCAGCAGTGTAAAAGCATTCCTTTTTCTATGCATCCTCACCAGCATCTGTTGTTGTTTGTTTTATTAAAAATGGCCATTCTTACTGGGGTTGTTAGATGGTATCTCAATGGCCAGGGAGAAGTCCTCCGGTGGGGAGGTACGGGACTGTCTCTTCCCCAAGTATGTTCTTGCGGTGGGTGGCCTAGCTAATCTATCCTGGAATGGAGTTTTCCTATTGTGACGTCCAGACTCCTCCTGGGTTTGTCCCTCTCAGTTGTGATCCAGCTGTATAGGTCCGACTCAGAGGATTGCTGGGGAGGAGAGGGTTTGGGTCAGCCCTCGACTCACCACTGATCTCTTTGGAGTTCTTCCTTGTCCTTTTTTGGCCACACCCTTTGTCTCGCGGCTGGATCAGGGTAGGGCTTGGGGCACCTGGAACTCAGCACTCAGCAGGTCCCTCCGAAGTTTGTGCTTTCAAATATTCCCTCGGGGTCACGATCAAGCCCTGAGTAGTTGATCCACCACTCCCAGAGAGTAGGTCTGTTGCACCGTGATGAGTGAGTCAGCGCACTTTCTTGCCCCACCTTCAAGAGGGTGGCGGGGTGCCTCTCTTGTTCTCTTCCTTGGGACTTTGCCTCTGGACTCCTTCCACAGCCCCTGCTGCCAGTGCCCTGCCAGGCACTGAAGCGTTGAGGCAAAGCCATGAGCCGGCAGTCTCTCTCCTGCTGCACCAGTGATGGAAAGCCTGGGGCGATGTTTCCTCCCCACCATTTTTTCACAGAAAAACTTTTGTCTGTTTAAAAAAAAAAAAAATGGTGCTGGGCTTCTGTGACCTGGGAAGAACCAGATGAAGCAGAGAAGCTGCAGCACCAGCTGTTGCACCAGGGGCCTGGTCATTTGCTCACAGGCCCCCACTTAGTCTCTCCCAGCATTTTCTTCCCAGGGAGGGTTTGTTGATTTTTTTAAAAAGGGAAGAAACAGAAAATGGTGCTTGGCTTCTGCGTCTCGGAGTCACTAGGGTCCAAGCCCAGCAGCTGTGGCACCAGCTGCTGCAGCAGGAGAGCCCTGGCCTCTAGCTCCTAGCCCCCACTCAGCCACACACACACCCACTCGCTCACCAGCATCTACACAAAATTTTCCATACACTCACTCACACAGGGACTCGCATAGTCCGACTGGCTTGTCCACCATCTTCCTGACCCCATCTTGGTTTGTATTTCTATAATATGGTATTATACCATGTAGTCAATGGAGAAAGCAGTATTTCTCATAACTTCAGAATTATTTTATATTGGAATAATGCCAACTCTTTCATTCTTGGTTCACAAGTCATTTTTTTCTAAATGTTTCAGCAAGTTCCTTTATGTGAGAGATGCTTACAAGACTTGCTTTTCTTAAATTCCAATTCAGAATCGGTATATCTCAAATATCGCTAATATGATCATGTTGAAAATGTATAAATATTTACTTAAATTAAGAAAATGGAATTTTTTAATTTTAGAGATGTGTGTTACAATTCAAATGGTCATTGTGCGGGTAAAGTTTGGGCCTCACTTTGGAGGGAAATGGAATTATTAAGAGAGACTATAAGGAAATCAAACATGCGGTACCTTAAAATAATTGTTATATATTTGATTTAAAGTAAGTCAGAATAAATAAATACTAAAGGCATTTTTCAGTCATTTTTGTACATAGTTGTGATGCAAAATCTCTAACTGGTAAAAAGTATCAGTGAAATATGGGCATCACATAAGGAAAGATGATACAGAGTTCAATAGAGTCTTCAAATAATTATGAGAATCTATGTAAATCAGAATAGAGCACCAGGAAAGTTAGTTCAAAATGTTTTCTTTAAAGTGCAGTAATAATGATATAATATTAAATTCAGTGGTTATAACTATTAACAATAATTGGTATGGAAGGGGCAGAAAACGGTGAATAGGCTAATTTAATTTTTTGTTCAGGTAAATCTATAAGTGTTTTTAAGCATCCTCAAAGAAAGACTACAAAAATAGCGTGGGTTAGCACATAAACTGATTTCAAAATGCCGACCTCAGAAAATTTGTTTTCGAGTGCATAGTTGTTATGCTATTCTTTCTATCCCAAGTGCTTAGCTGGTATTTCATTTTCCACAAGATTGCTGACAATATATCCCTAATACTTTGATTTAACATAGTGCAAGGGCATGATCTTAAAACTGAAACACACAAATGTGCGTATGTATATAGCCAAAGATATATGTATAATAAACATAGTGAATGTTCCTGAATTTATCCTACTACAAAAATAATCATATTGTAACTATGGAATTAAATAATATGTGTAAATGTTTTTCAAGATAAAGTTTTTTCAATAAATTGTATGCTTTTATTATGACACTTTTGTGTATACTCAGAAGCACACATTTACTCGCTTCTGTTGATACAAGTACCTTCCATGGAAAAATTTAACAAGCACTAGCTTAAAGAGTCATTCCCAAAGATTCCCTAATAATAGTACCTGGCAAAATTAATAATTCCTTCCTCAGTACCCCCATTTTTTCCATATCTGATAATTCCACCATTAATTTTTTTATAACTAACCAATCTGAGTTTTTCTAACTGGTTATTTCTTCTCCATGTCATCAGGAGTTGACCCCATACCAAATTTGTAGCAAGCACTCACTAAAATATGTTGAATATATTAGAACTCCTTTATATTATCAAGGTGATACTCTGATGGCAGTATTTGTACTCATAAATGGAATAAAATAGTTGTGAACTAGATCCGTTGAATCATGGTCTATAGAAAGTCAGCCATCCCTGTCTATTGCCCTCTTTTCAAACTCCCTGCATTTTTATCATCCTTTCCTGCTTTTCTCTCTTACCAAACCTATTCACCAAGCCTTTGGTGGTAGTAGACTAATGATGGTAATCCCCATTTCAGTGTGACTACTTGGCAAGCCTATGTAAATTAATATACATAGAATAACTGTTTTCTTAGTAGGACACTGAATTTTCTTGAAAAATTCGTGTCTAAAAATTCATTTCATTAGCTATATCAGGAAAACCCCAGTCTTTAAAAGTTATTAGGCAATTCTTTTTTCTTCTAACACAAGCCTTGTCTCTTTTATGTAGGCAAACTATTACTCTGTTTATTTACATCTTAATACATGCCCTCAAATGTTCATTAAAAGTCTCCCATGTTCCTGTACAATGACAGAGGTACAAAAACATTAAGCCTTTTCAGGGCTTACTACCTATCTGGTAAGACAGAGAAATAATAGCTAGCATCCGTTGAACATGCACTGTACCCTAGTCACTGTTTCATATGAAAATTACTTATTTATTCCTTATCACAAATCTTTATGAAAGAAAATACAATACAATAGAGAAAACTGAGATTCAAAGAAGTCTAGAAAGACAGGGAGTCAGGATTAAACTGAATACTGACTCTGCTCTTAACCACTATCCTCCATCGCTTTCCTGAGCACGGGATGCATGCCTTTCACTGGATCTGTGGTTCTGGGACTCTTTTTAGTAAAAGAGAATTTAAGAATATGGTGAAAGTTTTACAAAATCTCTACAAACACATATTCTACTCCATTTCCAGAGGTTTGTGTGTATCTCTGAAGCTGGTTAATGGACTTCAGGGTATAAACTTCTAGACTATCTAGACTAGTGCGATAACTTATAGAAGGTGAGGTTCCAACATGTTACAACCATCAAAGGTGTGACTGAGCAACTAGCTGAATTCAGATCCAGCCAGACACCATTGTCTAAAAGAATTACATTGACAGAAGCAGAGGCAGATAAGTTTAAAGCAACATTACTGGAATATCCACAACCCTTAAGTGACTAACACTTATTAACTCCAAAGCTTTTCAATATGAGAACCATTTAGATTACTACACAGTTAAGTAGGCTGGTGGGTAGAATCTAAATAACCAGTGTAGCTCTTAGTGAGAAAACACTGAGTATATGACACATATTTGGGGAAAATACTAAGATGCGAATCAATGCTTGTTCATTATGTTATTTCTATTAGATTCTGTTTAAATTGTATTTATCACATTGTTTGCTAATTTCTACATAATAAGCACAACATTTTTAATGGTTCATAAAATTTTCTTTCTTCAGAACTCAGTAAATAAAAGTGATGCTTTGTCTCAGGTATGCAAGTGTAGTATTTTCTATAGAACTGAATCTGATGCCCAGTTCAGATTGTCAAATTAAAATGATAAATCATTATTTCTTAACCCTTTTTTCATTATCACCCTCATTAAGAAACCTTTTTAGACTTGTTTCCAACTGCTCTTCATGAAAGTTGAATACTTTATATACATTGTATTCTGTATATATGCTTATGTACTGTATACATATCTGGGCGTTGCACATTTAAAAATTAAGACAGTTTTGTCCTTGAGAACCAATTTTTACCACATGAAGGCAATGTCACCCCCTTTAAGAATGTGTATGCTATATATAGTTATAAAATAAAATGTTATATATAAAATAAAATGTTATATAACAGTGGATTTTGTAAAGCATCATATGAAAACCTTTTATATCCCAAGCACTATACTACCCCTTGACAATCATAAAGTGAAGAAATATTCCTTAAGTAGATTAGAGTCAAAACTGAAAATGTTAAAATCAATATAAAAATCTGTAGAAACAATCTTTAAGTCAGCTAATATTATTTGGAGGTCTCACAGTTATATGTGTATAGAGCCAAATAAATACTCATTTGTTTCTATTGCTGTGACCCAGTTTTAGCCCCGTGAGTGAGACACAGGAAAACCTTGATAGAGCCAAAACATTAAGTTTTAAAACTGCTTAACTTGTATGTTTCTTAGAGGAACTTTTTCAGTAAAAGAATATCTTTTCTTTTTTCATGTGTGTATAGTGTCTGCTGCTAAAAATTAAAAATAGAAATCATAGTTTTTGAAATCGTAAATATATATAATAATTTGAAGCTTCCCGATGCTTAAAAGAAGAAACATTTTATTTCAGTTAAAATAAATTAATCATAGACCTAATGCTTTTAGTTAACTAAGGTTGTACCAGATACATATTTTGCTAGATCTACTGATAACTGATGGAGGAATGGATGGATGGATGATGGATAAATGAATGAATAGATAGTTGTGTACATATAGCAATCATTCCTTTTCATTTTTTCTTTTTTCTCTTTTTTTTTTAGCTTCTCTTTGGGAAACCAATCCTGGCACAATAAGAATATTTTCCAGCCAAGTTACTGTTGCCTTTCTTATAGAATCTGATGAAAATAACTACATTGGCTTTAATGCAACATATATTACGTTTAACAGCAGTGAGCTTAATAGTAAGTATTATTTATTTTTCAGTCTTTGATTTTTAAATGCTTCAATATTATAATCGAATTTTTAAAATAGCAGAACCTATCATTTTCATTATATAAGTTATTTAATCATGTCATTTGTATACGTCTCTCTGTATTCCCAATACTTACAGAGAAATTAGAAAATACTTCACTTTCTTTAGGGGACTCAACCAATTTGAGAAAAATGATAAGTAAATATAAAAATTTAATTAAAATGCTATAATTTTATATGCTTCAAGTATTCCAAGTTAAAAATTATTAGCATAAAATAAATTCAGAGAAAGTCCACATAAATTTAATTTTGATGAAAGAATTAAATTTAGTAATGGAGGAGACAAAAATATAGGACAAAGTTTATATGGGTAAACTAATGGGGACTAAATGTAAAAATTAAAGAACAAAAAGCTAATGTCTTGATGAAACATAAGAAACATTATTTAACACAGTTGGCAGCAAAAAGCTAGGCTATGTTAGCTACATGGGATGAAGCAGAGTTAAGATTAATAAATAAATAATTATTTTGTTCATGCCACTCAATTATGAGCTACATGAGGTTAGATTATTTTTAATGTAATCTAATACAACTACTTACATGGCAGACTAAATTTCAGGGCTTTTTTCCTTTTTTTCATTCACAGATTATGAAAAAATTAACTGCAATTTTGAGGATGGCTTTTGTTTCTGGGTCCAGGATCTAAATGATGATAATGAATGGGAAAGGGTTCAGGGAAATACCTATCCTCCTTTGACTGGACCAAATTTTGACCACACTTTTGGCAATGTTTCAGGTATAATGTATATTTAACTTCTAAATCAAAAGGAAAGAGATGTGTGTTGTCCTGGAGTTTAAAGTGAGCAGTATCAAATGCAAAACAGATTTTTAGATTTTTTTAAATTGTGTGCTAACAAGGGGATTAAATGAAGTGGTTATCAAATAAGGTGAGAAAATGCAAGTGTGTCTCCAGAAATATATTTACCCTATATATTCACAAAATGTTACTGAACACACAGATGCCATTAGAGACAAGACTGGGTTGCCCCCTAGACTTACCACTTATTATTAACTAAGTAGACTTGGATGAGGCGATTAACTGTGAACGTTGAGCTTTGACCTGCTTTGCCTTAATTTTACTTTGTGATTTTTCATCATTAGTGCACAGAAATAAATTTTTGTATATTGATAAAGTTCCCTTCAGTATTTGCTGAATTTGTGTGTTAGTTCTGATGGATTTTCTTTTTTTAAAAAAAAGAATTTCTTAGAATTTTCAGTATATGAGATCACACCATCTTGAAATAAAGATAGGTTTACTACTTCTGGGAAGCCCTTTGGAAGGATGATTCTAAAGCATGGTCCTAAGGGTAGGGTTGTGATTTGTAAGTATTTTTTTTTATCTGAATGGTATATTAGAATTGGATTCCAGGTGGAAATGTTAGAGAAAATAATATTTGACTGATAAATCACAAATAATATGAAAACATAAGGAGATAAGGAACTTGCAGCAGGATGATAGCCCATGAAAGCTTCAGAAGCACATAGTCATACTAGCAAATATAATTACAGAATAAAGTGTTACAAATCTAGAAGAAACATATATCTTAAAAAGTAAGAAAAAATCACAAAAACAATGAGAATTTTTGCATTTATATAATATTCTTATTTATACAATATTCTTTGACAAAATTTATCTTACAATATGGGTTGCTGATGAATTACTGATAAGAGTAAGAATTCCATTCAAAAAATATGTATTAAATATGTATTAAAAGCCTCCTCTAGGCATGGCTCTAGGCATTGAGGATGCAGATCGCATATCATCGCTTCTACAGAGTCTGTCCAGAGTCTCCAAGTTGAAATTTTCCTTTCCCTTAAACATTCTAGACACTTCTTTTGTTTTCCCTGTCACATGGCATTATATTGCTCACTTATTTTATTTTGTTTTGTTTTTACCACAGTATTTTTTCAAAAACAAAAACCCAGTCTTTTTTATCTTTGAATTCCTTTGAATCCAGTGCTTGAAACTATGTAGCATGCAAAATTATTTTTTAATATATAAATAAATATTCACAACTTTTACTCAATAAGTAATTTCCAAATAACTTACTGACTGAATGAAATCATTTCTAACAACAACAACAACAAAAATCCTAAGCACATGTGCACTGTAGTTTGCTATAAACGGCCACTTTCGTTACAAAGATCAATATTCTCGTTTTTAAAACCTGAATATTAAGTGATCGATTTAATATCAATTGTGAGTGATACTTTGTTAAATGACATCCAAGAGTTAATTGTTTTAGGCTAGAAATGAATCTGACTAATCCTGATTTTTCAGGCAGTGGCATCCTTAGCTTATCAAAATGTGGTTCATCACACTACAACTTGATCAAAATATTTTTAATAAAAAAGTGATTACTTTTCATCTGTTTCAGAGTCATCAGTGAAAACCCTTTCCAGTTTATTCTTTTATTCAAGCTGCATTTATTGAGCTTCAGTGCGCATTCACGGCACTCCGAATATATCTGTGAACAAAATAAATCTGAATTCTCTGCTCTCGTGGAACATATATTCTAGCAAAGAAAAACAAAAAAATAAATAATACACGGATGGTGCCCCAAAAAGTATACACATTTTAAGAAAGAAAAAAACTGTATTAAAATTGTAATAATAATATGAACAAGCCACATTTGACTTTTGCAATTATAAGAGGTGTCCAGACACTTCTGACTGCAGCCAACTAAAAATAATACCTAGATAACAACTCTTGAATGTATATACATTTTTTACAACCCTAGTACATAAAAAGTAATTAATTTTTTGGTGTGTTAAATATGAATGGGTACTTTGGGAAACTATGGAGCTTTGTAAGAGAATAGGGGAGGGCAGGGAGTCAGATGCTGCTGCAAATTAAGAGAGGGTGATCAGCTTAAGTCTCACTGAGAAAGTGACATTTAATCAAAACTTTAATGAAAAGAATTAACTTTATAGATTATTTCAGACACAGGGAACATGCTTAATCTGTTGGAAGAAAACCCAGGAGACCAGCATGGCTAAAGTGGAGTGAATAGGATGACCACATGGTCTAAATGATGATGGAACTTCCATGGTTTCAGCTTTTTCTCTGAGGGAAACAAAAGGCTAATTGAGACTCTTGAGCACAGACATGATAGGATTTACTCTGACTGGTGAGCAGGAAATAGGTTGTGGGAGAACAAGAGTGTTAAGAGGAGACCAGTGGAAGCTTATCATCAAACGCAGAGAAGAGCTTACGGGACTCAGATCAGTGGGAGCAGATGTAGAAGGGGTCAGATTCTGGGTATATTCTGGATGTAAAGCTAACAGGATGTGGCTAAATGCATCACTGGTGTGGATCTATTTATAGAAAATGTGCTCTGAGTAAATGGTCAATCCCATAACCCCCCCCCAAATGTTTGGTATTGAAAAATGATGACATGAATATTCTCATACATAATTCATCTTCTTTGAATAAGTTATTTCCCAGAGTCTGATCCTCCATGGATTAATTAGTAACCTGCACAGCTCAAGACTAACCTCTAAGTGATAATCACTCCAACCTTCTTAAGGGGCCTGGCCTAAAACAGTCAAATAATCTGATTTGTTTTTTTTATTGCCTTTATTAAGATGTTTAAAAGTCTCTACCACACTTGGATAAGAGTAGTTACAGGAAAGTGCAAAAAGCACTTGTATCTATTGACTATGACAGATACGTTTTATGCAGTTTGAAATCTTTGATGTTCAAATTATCATTTTTCTACTTTTATGTCATAATACGAGATGAAATAATTCCACTTATATTTAAAGAGTATAAGTGCATTGCAGGAGGAAAATGGTTTTGGCTTGCCAACAGAAAATAGCTAAAGAAATAAGATGAAACTGACCAAAGTAAAATAGGTTGGATGTCAGGTGGTGGTTTTAAATAGTTGCGTATGAAATGGAGTCTCAGGAGAAGGTCTAGTAGCAGTAGTTATTTAAAATTAGACACATCATGTAATGAGGACAGATTATAGGGTTTAATAGGACCTCTCCAACTCTCCTGCCTGTGATTTCATAATCTACCAGTCATTCTTCTCCAAAGGGCATCTTTCTTTTCACCTGCTTTTTATGTGTCAGAACATCCTACCTCAGAAATGGAAGAGAATTAAACCTCTCCTGATGTTCCTATTATCCATGCAGGGATTTTTTTTTTTTTTTTTGCCTTCACCTTAAATGACAAGAAAGCCTAAATGAAGCAGATAAGCTGAATGAACATTGCTTTAGGGAAGAACATCTAAGTCTCTTAACTTTTTTAGTCTTTCTAAAGAACTCTCCCCTGGTGGAGCACCAGCTCATAATTTCTACATTGTCTATGCTGGAGTTTCTGTGTAACTTTTAGAAGCAAAAGGGAATCGGTAAAGATAGTGGCACTGATGTAGGGCAGTGTGTGGAGTGCTCAGAAGGGGCCCCACTTGTTCAATAAACTCATGGAAAATGAAGTTAGTAACATGAAAACTTCAGAAATGGAGAGGTCACAGAGGACTAGGCAAGTCAAAGAAAGTGTTTCTTTCCTTTCTCAACAAAATCATGATTGTTCCTAACACTGGGGGAGGCAGCATAGTTTAGCAGTTAAAAAAAAAACATTAAGATATAGACCCAGGAGTCTTAAACAGTTTTAAATCTCAATTCTGTCATTCAGACAATTTTTCTATCCTCTCTTGCTGCCTCAGTTCTCTTATCTAGAACGTGGAGTTGGTGATAATAGTATGTGACATAAGAGGCATGTTATGAACATGTTATGAACATTAGTATGCTGGGGAGGAAAACCGTTACTTTGGTCAATTTTCAAAAGTATGTTACATCTTTTAGATATCTATATTTAATTTAACATATGAAATTTTTCTAAAACAAGAATAACTTTAATGTTTTCAGATATTATCTTTATTTTATTTATTTATTTTTAGACTTTTAATTTTTCATTTTAAAGATGTGGAGTACAGTTTAGGGTTAGGTATATAAATGTTCCTTATGCAATTACCCTTGTTGATGAGGTGTGCCCCCACCTTCCCCAGGCAGTTTCTCACTACTGCCAATCCTTTTCCTATAGTATTATGATAATTGTTCAAGGTGAGAACATGTGATACTCAGTTGTGTGATCGTGTGAAAGATCACTCAGTATTATAGATTCTAAATCTGTCCAGGTTGCTGTGAAGTTCATGATTTTGTGGGAGCATAAACTAGTACAGCCTCTGTGGGAAACAGTGTGGCAATTCCTAAAAGATCTAAAAATTAACCTTCCATACAACCCCGCAATCTCCCTACTGGGAATATACCTGGAAGAACTCAAATCACTCTATAAAAAAGATATGAGCACACGTATGTTTATCGCAGCATTGTTCACAATAGCAAGAACATGGAACCAACCGTGCTGCCCATCAAAAGAGGACTTTATTTTTATTTTATTTTATTTTTATCTTTATTTTATTTTATTAATCATCTGTATTCGTATTGTCTTTATCTTTTATGTTTCCAGTGTGGCTGAATTTAAAAAAATAATATTCCTTTCTAATATTAATAGATTCTGACTAAATTTGGACCATTAACCAATCTAAACTTTTAATATTTATATACAAGTTTCAGTTAATTTTAAATATGCACTTAACAACTCACAAACAATTTATATCAGACTATTTTCTTCTTGAGAGGAATCTTCAAGTTTCCAGAAAGTTCTATCATATCTTCAATTTCTGATTTCTCTACATCAGCATCAACAATGCCAAGCAGTTTTACTCTTTAATTGAGGTGTTGGATGGGAAGAGTTTATATTCAGTTCATTGAGAAATAAACAGAAAAAAAGTCACAGAAGGAAGCTGTAAGGAAAACCTAGTGGCTAATGAAAGAGATTCACCGTGCACTTAATTAATGTATTCAGTTTTCTGCATTTTTTAGCTGATCCTGAGATTAATTCCAAAAGCTCTAGAAGATATTTCAAGAAAGTTGAAAGACTTTTTAAAAAAGAAGTTATTCTTTGATCGTATAAATTTCCATGTGGTTATGGAAAATATCAACTTAATCGTTGCTCTTGTGTAGAATTTTAATACATTTAAAAACATGGCAAGTCAGTGGAACAACAATACATTCAACGACATTCAGTTAATTCATAGGGAGAACAAAAAATGAACAAGGTATCTTTCTTTTTTCCAAAGTTCTAGCAAATTTATAAAACACATAAAACATAAAATACATGACAGAATATGCGGAGTGACATCAGAGAAGTACAAAGAGCCACTGAGAAGTCAAAAAAAGTGGTCACTTTGAGTGGAAGCCATGCTGAAGATGACAATTTGATTTAAATCACCTCAAAAAATTAGTCGATTTTAGCACGCTATAATTAGAATGGGAAGTGGAGACGGAAGAACAGAAAAAGAGGGATTTCTCAAAAGTCATAAAATTTCTAGGTGTTTGGAGATGTTAAAATAATTTTGTAGAATTGCTGTATGTAATAGACTATTATAAGAACTGTGGCTATAAAATGGCATTGAGGTCATAGTACAGGGACCTCAGGCATCAGAGTGAATTTGTACTTGGTTTAATAGGAAATAAGAGCTATAAAGGATCTTAAATAAGGGACAATTAGACTGTGCATAAGAAAGCAGTATCAAGTAGTGGTGTAGGTACTGAAGAATTCTCATGGAGAGTTAGAGAACTAGAAGTGAAACACTTGGAAATTGATAGTGACAATGATCTTTCTTTTAAAAAAAAAAGTCTAAATATGCATTGATATGGGCAGTTCCACAGGTACTTCTTTTCTTCATGCCTTGTTCTTACTCTGCATGTTATAAGTGAATGAATTTGAATTTTATATGCAACATTGCTTATATTTTTCTATTAGAAAGTACTAGAGAGAAGATGCTTGATAATTTCCAGAAAATACTAAATTTCAGCATTGCATTCCAGTCAAATTAAATGAACCTAATATTTCATTTTCTTTATGTTATATTTTGTTACATGTTTCTTGCTTCCTGTCATAATATATGAGCTGAAAACTAAGATTGGAATAAATTCCCCTCAGGAAATATTCAAGGTATTCTTACCGCAACAACTATTCACACACTTCAAATGACTCAATTCACTGGTTGGGGTAATGAATTCCAAACCAGAAAGCACTTTATGCAGTGGTTTGTGCTATTTTGAAAGCTTTTATATGGATTAGCATGCTTCCTGCTCCTCAGTGATCTGATTAGTTATCATTCAAAGGAATCAGGGAAGATAAAACCATTATAAAATCAGACAATTTCTTGTTTTGAGACATTCAGTGTAGTCAGTGGATTATAAAACTGAGAGCCTTTTTGAAACTCCTAACTTTGCCTTCAAATTTGTATTTAAATACTTGTGTATACTATGAATTAGCCCACCAGCTATCTAAATATCCTTGTGCACTGATTGTCTCTTAACATGTGACTGAATCAAAACATTTAGTATATTAGAACCAAAATGGTATTTCGATCTGATCTTTATTTATAACATCTTTACTTTTTAATGTTTCCTGTGAGGATAATATAACAATTAGTAAGTCAGAATTGGATATATTCTTAATGATGCTCTAGTCCAAGTCTCCCATTTAATAAATTGGTAGGTCCAGAGTTGTGAGATGATTTTCCTAAATTACAATTTGGTATGGCAGTGATGCTGCTTTCTGGGTTTGAGTCTGATACCCTGTCTGCTATATCAGAATATGTTTCCTTATATTTTCATCTTAAAGTTTTGTTTTTCTGCTTACAAAGGATATATCTCAACAAAAAGGCAATATTTAAGGAAAATTTTTTTAAAAATTTGTCCTTTTTATAGGATTTTACATTTCTACCCCAACTGGACCAGGAGGGAGACAAGAAAGAGTGGGACTTTTAAGCCTCCCTTTGGATGCCATGATGGAACCAGTCTGCCTTAGTTTCTGGTATGTTGTAGGCACGTGATAAATGCTGTTTTATTTAATGAGTAACATTGCTTTTCTCAGTTTACTAGGCTCAGATCTTAGTAAGAAATTTGCTGACATTTTAATGCACACGCTATTATTTTCCAATTAATAAAGCAACAGAATTCTGGTAGATTCCCCTTCCCTTCCCAAGCAACTCCCACATCCAAGAGCGGGGGGGGGGGAAGGGGATTCCAAAGACGGTAAAGGATCTAGACAAACTCTGAAATGCATGTATTCTAATGTAGCAACCCAAACATCTTTGCTTTGTTTCCAAACTAGGTATTATATGTATGGTAAAAATGTCTATAAATTAAGCATTAATATCAGCAGTGACCAAAACACAGAGAAGACAATCTTCCAAAAAGAAGGAAATTATGGAGAAAATTGGAATTATGGACAAGTAACATTAAATGAAACAGTTCAATTTAAGGTTTGCAAAACACTTTTAGATTTATATTTGTATGCTTTTGTGGTGATACAATTATATTTACAGTGATGCAATTAAGAAAATTATTTTCTGAAGATAACCAAGTCACTTTCTTTGCTTCCCTAGTCTACCTCATTTTGAATCTTCAGCACCTTTATTTTCATTATTTATTAACTTATTAAAAACCACTTACTGAGGGACTGTTTACTACATGAAAGTATAGCTTATAATGGTTCATAAAATCCACTGAAACACTTTAGCATATTTCATTCTTCTTCTGCAACTTTCTAGTGTGAGCCAACCATTTCTTCCTATTTTCTCTGCCTACTTTTAAACTGTTCACAAATACCACATATGTCAGCCCTTCACTTTTCTAGGGAATCATCTTTTCCTACTAGAACATTTAGACCCATCAGTATCTACCCACTCTGCCTCATTCTAATTTTATCTTCGTATATTTCCTTTAGAAACAAATTCTATGAGCTGTATCATTGAGAAGTCTCTGATCATTTATTTTACCTTAGGGTGAATTAATTTTCAGAAAACAGTTTAATGTGTTCATTTCCTAAGGGTCTTTGCAATTAAAATATAGGATCATGTAGGCTATTAGTCTGACCAAATTAGCAATGTTCTAATGGATAATTTCAGACAAGATAGCAACACTCCCAGAATATGTATATTTGGGTTTTTTTGTTTTTGAGTCAGAGTCTTACTCTGTCACCCAAGCTAGAGTGCAGTAGCATGGTCACAGCCAACGAAGCCTTGACCTGTTGTGTTCAGATCTTTCTGCCACCATCCTTCCAAGTAGCTGGAACCACAGGCATGCACCACCACACCCACACCTGGCTTTTTTTTTTAATTGATGAGAAGAAGTCTCACCAAGTAGCCCAGTCTGGTTTTGAACCTCTGGGCTCAGGCAATCCTCTTGCCTTTGTCTCCCAAAGTGCTGGAATTACAGGCTTGAGTCATCACACCCGGCCTCAAAAATGAATATTGAACAGACCTTGTCATCATCAAAGGCTTCAGGTCTCTCCTATGACTTGATGTGAGGCAGGAAATAATCAATAACTCTCATTTGTTTTCCTCCCATCTTTCTTTCCTCCTTTTCCTTTTCTGGTCTTGTCTGTCTTCTGGTTCTGTCCGTTTCTTTGAAGTTTTTCTCTCCAGCCTTTTTTTTTTTTTTTTTGTGGATACGTCAAGGATGAATAAGAGAAAATGGAACATCCAGGGAAAAAAGAAATGGCAGAAGTTAGGAAATCAGTATTGCAGGGACCAAATATGGCTCAACTCACTGATCATCATTTCTAAAGTAATGTAACTAGGTTCATTTTTTCAGTTAGCTCATCAGGCAGAATGAGTGTCCAGGTCTATAAATATTTGCACTTTGGCATTGCCATTTTGTTGTAATGTCTTGAGCAAGCCACTGAAGTCTCCTTGAAATTTAATTAGCTCGTATGTGTGAGAAAGAAGATAATACTTATTCGAAATAATGTCTGGCATGAAATAGGTAAAATGAATGAGCACATAAATGAATGAATGTTTGTATAATGGTTTTAGAAAGAAATAATGTATGCCACGTGCCTAGCATAGCAATCAACATACAGTAGGCATTCCCTTTCCTATCCAGTAGAAGATCAAGAAAGTATAGTTGACAATAATCACTGTCCTTGATAACCTAATATGTTACATCTGACCACTGGACCTTCCTCCCAAGTCTGGTTCTGTGTTCTCTGGGCAGTACCCTCACATAATATACCACATCAGCATCCTAAGTAAACCATGATAGTAGCAGTTGGTCCTGAATGATCATATTATACCCATACTTTTTTCTTGTCTCTTTCTCCCATTTACATAATCTAATTGGTGTATCTCTTCAGGGCTTGTGTGCTCTAAGAAGGCAAAAGCTACCTGGATTTTTAGTATTGTTGGGGAAAGAACCCCCCACAAAATTATAATATTGCTGGGGAAAAAGGCTCTCCCCTGTCAGATGATGTGCTTTCATGACAGAGTACAATTGAGTATGGCAAAATCATGAACAAGAAAGAGGGAGAGAAAGCAGGCACACAGAGAGAGACAGAAACTGCTACAATATTGCCTAACTCAGAAGGAAGGAGGGAGGAAAAGTTTAGTCAGTATGACCATATATAACAAGGGAGTTGGACTCAGCAGAAAGACCTAAAAGCCATGATCTATTAATTTATCACTGTGTAGTAACTGGTCATTATAAATTTAGAGACAACAGTAATGATTCTCCAAAGGATATTGAGCTTCAAGAAGAAGCAAGTCAGAAAAGACTAGAGTGAAATAATTGTGTATACCTCTCTGAATTGCAGGTTGCTTTTAATGCTTTTAAGAACCAACTCCTGAGTGATATAGCTTTGGATGACATTAGCCTAACATACGGGACTTGCAATGAGAGTCTTTATCCAGAACCAACTTTGGTCCCAACTCCTCCACCAGAACTTCCTAGTGAGTAATCTTAAAGTGTATTTTTCTTATTACGTTACTAATATTTTCAGGTAGATTTTAATTGGGCTTATTTTTGCTACCTCAGTCAAATATTAGTTTTTCCCCTGAAAATAAGGCTTCTTAAATATAAGTAAAATGGAAGCTAGCAAAACATTACATGTTACACATATATCCACAATAAAAATCACTGAGTACTTAGTTATGGTTTATATGAATATTTCAGTACCTATTTATTTTTGAAAGTATTTAAAGGGTTAATTTCCATTTTGTTTTCACTAGAATATAGATGAATGCTGTACAGGTCACGTGGCATGACTTATAGTTTTTAAGAGAAGAAGCCTCGAGTTTTGATGGCCTAATTAAAAGCCATTTTTTTAGCCGGCTCGGGGCTCAGCCTGTAATCCCGCACCTTTGGGAGGCTGAGGTGAGTGGATTGCCTGAGCCCGAGGGTTCGAGACCCGCCTGGGCAGCGAGACCTCAT